TAAATGATGGTGGCTTAGACCATGGTAGTAACAGAAGGGTAGGAAAAGCAGTAAGATTGTGTGTATGTGTGTGTGTGTGTGTGTGTGTGTGTGTGTGAGAGAGAGAGAGAGAGAAAGAGAGAGAGAGGAAAAGAGAGAGTTTTAAACCATGGTGAAATATACATAACATAAAATTTACCATTTTAATTATCTGTAAGTGTATAGTCCAGTGGCATTAAGTACTTCTGAATTATCATACAACCATCCCCACTGTCCATCTCCAGACCATTTTCATTCCAAACTGAAACTCTTGAATACATTTTGAAGGCAGAATTAACATGCTTTCATACAGGTTGGACTGGGGTGTGAGAGAAAGAGAAGAGTCAAAGACAACTCCAAGATCATTGACCTGAACCACTGGAAAAATGGTATCTCTACTGATGAAATGGAGAGGATGGTTAGAGCAAATCTGGGGAGGAAGGAAGAGAAGGAGTTCAGATTTCTTCATGTGAACTGGAGGTGTCCACTAGACACCCGAGTGGAGAATTTGAGACTGCATTTGGGTATGCAAATCTGGAATGCACTGGAACTGGATAGAGGTATATATTTGGATGTTATCGTGTCATTGGCAGATAGATTGTTTTTAAGAAAAAGGAATGAGATAATCAAAGGAGTAAGTGAGAAAGAGAAGAGATCAAAAGCTTTGGAGCAGACTATTTAACCCCAGGCTGAGAGGGTGGGGAGGAAGAGAAGTAGCAAAGGAGACCAAGAAGAAAGACAACCAAGAGAAGAGTGTTGAATGCTGCTGAGAGGTCAAGTAAGACGAGGACATCTAGTTAACCATGGGTTAAGGAGTGCGTAGGTCACCGGAGACCCTAGCAGGAGCAATTTGGGGGAAGTAGTAGGGACAAAAGCTTGACTGGAATGGGTTAAGAGAAAACGAGAGATGAACTGGAAGCAACAAGAAAAGATGAATCATTTCTAGATTTTACTCTAAATGGGGAGCAAAACTGATCAAGGAAATTATATCAAGAGTAGTTTCTTTTGCTTTTAGTGGGGAAAGTAGCAGCATAGTTGTATGATAATGACAATGATCCAGTGGAGAGGGGAATGGTGATACAAGAGAGGGAAGAAGTATTTTTAACATTTTAAATTTGAATAACTCTACGTGAGGCCACAGCATTTTTGTCACATTCTAAACCATAGACTGACCCACTTCATTCATTTGTGTAACCTACATTTGACTTTGCATCTCTTGGCCTGGATAGATACAGATCTATATGGGGCTCTAAAACTACACTGGAGTCAATTGGCAAGAATGTAAACTCAGCCCAGTCCTGCTAAAGTAGACAGAGCCCCTAAGTGCTAATGCACCCTCTTTCTCAGAGTGTTTTGACCATTTATTCATGCAGATACTACCAGAAAATTGACAGAAGCTGTTGAAATCCTGAAACTTAATAATACACAATATAATGCAGATTTTGCGGGCTCAGTAATTTTATTTTAGTGTCCAGAAATCAACCTTGGCATGGTCCTTGGAAAATGGGTCATTTCTGGGTGCAGGCAAAAGATGAGAGAAAATTATTAAGTCAAGGGTGAGTGATAAAGCAGCAATGGGAGGAAAGATGAGTCTTTGCTGGGCTTAGACTGGAACTATGTCTCCATAGTGGAATGAGACATTTACCACTGGACCAATGTTTCTGTAGCCCAAAGACTGAATATGATAATGTACAAGTCAGAGACAGGCAAATAACTAATGTATGAACTTAGGTTTGGGAGGTCAAATTCTGTGAAAGGAAAGGGAGCTGATATAGCCTTATTACTGTTTGAGTACCTTTTTTCTTATCTACGCTATACCCCCTAGAAGGATGATCCATAGGGATCAAATATGGTGGCCAGCCTCCATGATGGCTAAGTGAGCCCAGCCTCTTGGTATTCATTCTTCTCCACCTTGCACTCCATCCTGGAAACATAATCTGTAGGGGTTGGATCAACATGCTTCCAGTCCTGGCTTCTGGTTGGATTACACTAATGGGGAGTCCTGGGAAGAAGTTATGGTGAGGTTGCCTTGAGTTGGTTGTGTCTCTCAACAGCAGATCATTGCTCCTATCAAAGAGATTTTGGCTCTACTTATCTCTCTCTCACTTTCCTGGTCCTTTTGGACCTAGGGATGGTGTCACTTCTAGTACTGCTGGACCCAGTTTCCCTTACCTCCATCCACACCTTTGTAATTAGTCCCTTCATGTGTGAACACTTTAAAAATTGTTCTAATTTAAATATGTCATGTTTCATATTGGAAACCTGACTAATACAGTAATTGGTATCAGAAGTGGCTCCAGGAAACAGTCAAAACTGGATCTGAGATTTATCTGGTCATATATTTAGAGGTCCAAGGAAGCCTTATTGCTGGGGGAAATAACTCAATTATAATTATTCAAATGATCATTCTTGGCAGCCTGGAATGAAGGGCAAAATGCTAGCTTATGGAACTCCTATAAAGTCTCAAGATGGAAATCATAGCACAATCCCCTAGAATTAGATGTGATGCCTCGACACTGTGCTGATAATTATTTTTAACTTGAAAAGTAGCTGCTGGCTTGCTACTGGTGAAGACCGAATGGTCAGCCATGGATCATGAAATATTTATGTGATTCAAACCACCTTTCTTAAATTGAGTGTTATCTGATTCAATGAACCGTAAAATTAGGCACGAATAGCAGTACTCCATCATAATATGGAAGCCGTATATTTGAAAGTAGGCCCCAGGAGATCCAGAAGGCTCAAGATAGCTTCAGGAGCAGGTGACTTATATTCACTAGTACCTGCTCTTTCTGCTTTCCTTCAACTCACACAAGAGGCCTCAGGAGGAGTTCCTCAACAAGTCTCATGTATAGATAGATCTGAATCCTGAGTACAGATGAATGGGAAATAAACAGCCATCGTGCTATAGCCACATTCAGAGGTCTCCAGAAAGATGGTGCTGAAATGAAATCCTCCCAGAACTTCAAAAAGTTTGTTTATACTTCATTAGGAAGATAATCTGAGATATTGACCTACGATAACTAATGGGTGATGGCAAAAAAAAAAAAAAAAAAAAAAAGTTGGTTTGCTAGTTGGGAACATGGAAGGTACAAGGTCAGGAGATTTGTAACAAGGTCTGGGGAGAGAATTATGGCTGAAACTCTTGGAATGGGGACAGAATGGAAAGATAAAATCAGAGGTCTACAAGATGATACATTCCATTAGCCTGTTTTCAGTTTTGTTTGTGCTTCTTCAATGGTTCTCTGAATACTCTTAACCATGGTGTTCCATGATTCAGAAGCAGCTGGCTTATAGGACAGAGGAATGGCCAGCTAAAAGCGCAGTTACTACTATGACGTCTGGGAAATAACATCTTGCAATGTTGGAGTGGTATCCTATAGGATGCAGTGAATGTCTTAAACCAGCAACAAGTGTAGAGCCAGGATGCATGAGTCGGGGAACTAAGGAGAGGTGTTTGGAGTGGCCCCTCTCACCATCTCATCTAATAACCCACTGCAATATTGTTGTTCGTTTTATCTGTGACCTTGGGGTTGGTGGGTTTGGAGAAGCATCCCTGTCTTAGAGAATACCAGAAGTTGAGACCCCCCTCTGGCCATTTTGAGATTCCTTGTATCACTGAATTGATTGACACAGAAAGGGATCAGTGTAGCTGGGATGAGTATCCTGATTATCAGGATGAAACAGGATTAGTTCTTCATAGAGTGGACAAAGAGTGTTGGCAGAGGCAAAGGGGAACATGGACCAGATGGTGACAGAAGGCATCTGCGATCATTAGCTTAGGACTCAGGACAGCTGTAGATGGGGGATTGTAGCAACTCTGTTAATATGTTACTCTTCTTTTCTCCTTATTTCCTTCCCTGCCTTACTTAAAGTATCTTGATGTTTAACGTACTATGTTTCAGGTGGAAATATGACTGCACTGACATCACCTGGTGATAACATGATGGTCGATGAAACTCCATTGCCTCCCCTGTTTTGGGGGCACAGAGTGGAGGCTGAGGGTAGACTGCACTGGGGGTCTTCTGTTTGTACCCTGCTTCCATTTTCCTGGGACTTGAGAGATGATGTCTAATTTAATCTTCTCAACAACCCTATACCAATAGTAGGTCTTCTCGATTACCCTCTTCCCATATACCTGGGACTGTTCTAGGTTCTTCCCAGGAATTGGTTCAATTAGTCCTCCCAGTAGTCTTGCATGTTAAGTATCTAATTATTCCCATTTTACAGACAAGGAAACTTAAGTGCAGAGCAGTTCAGTAAGTTCCCCAGATTAACCTCTGCCTCGTAAGGCTTCTCAAAGGGGTTAGGTATGATTATCCTGTTTTGGCAGATAGGAAAACGAAGACTTAGAGAAGCGAAGGGACTCATCGCACATATAGTCACCCACACAGCGAGGATTCAAACTCAAGTCTGTCTAACCTCAGAACTCATGTCCAACATACTCTTTGCTTCCTTAATTCTTCATTGTCAGGTGTCACGATGAGAAAGAGTTGACTGGGAAATCCAGGTTCTACGAACATAAAATATTAAGTAATAAAATATTAAAAAATATTTTTAGAAGAAATGTGATGGACCCAATTCAAAATCTGTGCTAACGCATTTCCTAGGAGAACATTGCTTTTGGAATTCTATTCTTTTGTACATTTATTAGCTGACATTAGCCCCGATCAAGGTAAAATAGAATACAGTGGTCATTGTCATTCACAGACTGAGGAAATGCATAAACCAGACCTGGGGAGAAGAGCCTGAGAAGGGAAACCACACTGGTCAGGGTGCCAGTAACTTCTTTTTGCTTTTGAGACAGTTTCTCACCTTCCACCAGTAAAGGAGGGCAGAGTCAAGACCTAGCATATGTTTCATCATTCCTATCACTCCCTGGGAATTTCCCTCGGGAAATTTCCTCCTTTGGACTAGCACCACCGACCTCATCTAGCCAATATCATGGACTTACGGCTCTCCCACAATGATCTGCTTTTCAGATAATACCATCCAGTCGATTTTCTGTTGCTGTTGCTGCTGTTCCTTGCAGAAGCGGTGAGTCTACTTCTGAGGGCAACTTCTTGGAATTCATTCATTTCGTTTCTTTATCGTCTGCTGCGTCTGTGGCTCTTTGTATCTGCTGTTCCCTTTGTCTGGGAAACCCTTCCCCCGCTTCCTCCCTGCTGAGTGCCCAGCGATCTAAAGGCATAAGTCAAATTTCAGGTTTTCAACCATCTGTCCTGGATGGATCCCTTGGACATTAATTGCTCCTTCCATTGCATTCTCATAGCATGTGGCTTGTTCTGTATTTGGTATTTATTTTGTGTATGCTTTTTGCTTTCTGTGTTCTGCTCAATAATTTTTACCCTTTAAGTGCAAGAATCCTGTCTTGTTTATTTGAATACCTCCCACCCCCAATGATCAGAGTCTCTCGCACTTTGATGCCCAGCAAACGATTGTACAGAATAAATGCAAGGTACCGTGAAAATAGTAACGGCTAGCATTTAACGGGAGTGTCCTCTATGTAGGACTGTGCTAAAGGATTTGCATTTATTAGCTCAAGTAACTCTCAAAAACACCTACGGCCTTTCTAATCTCCATCTGACAGATGGGGGAATTGAGGTTTCACCAGCTCTGGTCTGGGAGTGGGACATAACGTTTCTTCAATTTTATTCCATAAAACCCCATATGCTCTTAGCACCTCTAGCTCCTCAGTAAGGAAAATGCAGTTCTGGGAGGTGGTAACTTGCCTGTGGGAAGTCTTTTGAGTAAGAAGGAAGTTGGAAAGAGACCTGGAGCTTCCTCCTCGTTTCATGAATATCTGGTGAATGCTTGGATAACCTGAATTCAGGTCATTGTTGGTAACATGGTTGTTTTTCAATCTCAGACAAGTCAGAACACAAATAAGCCTGAGCAAAGATGAAGAATTTCCAGAAAAATATACACGGCATCGCAGGCCATGGTTCAGGGAATTACCGAGCAAGAAGCGAGTGAGTATCATCTTGATGAGGGGGAGGGAACAGAGGAAGCAGGCATTTTTAGGGACTAAGCTCCTTGAGGTACTGTTTGCGGCCACACGCAGAATCTCATGTCATGCTCGGTGCGTGACGAGGGCTTCATAAACACCCAGTGAATGAATTCCTTAGAAGAGAGCAAAAGAAAAAAAAAAAAAAAAAGGCCAGTTAAATTAGCCTACTCTGCTATGTTTCGGCAGAACTTGAAACCAGACAGGGAATGGGGAAAAATGTATTCTGCCATTTTTGAAAGCAGGAGTAATTTTCAGTTCACTGTTGGAGGAAACAGTGTTCTTAAGAAGTGTGATAAGCCCAAACACAGCTCATAGCGTGTGAAAGGGAAGGGCTGTTTGTCATTTTTCAAGAGAGAAAAACCCATAAAACAAAGTGAAACTATTGGGGGGGAATTAAATTTTAAGAATGTGGCTTTAAAAAACATGCAGGGGCACCTGGTTGGCTCAGTCCGTGGAGCATGCCACGCTTTATCTCACGGTCATGAGTTCGAGCCCCGTGTTGAGCATAGAACTATTTTAAAAAAGAAAAGAAAAACATCCGCTGCAATGCTGGCAAGAGAATTTGTGATCTTGACAGCTTACCAAATGATGAGTGGGTTGCTAGATTCAAAGGTTGTTTTATGGTCATTTCCTATATTTATCCCACTCTGGTTTTTGCTTTGGTGAAGCCAGAGGGGAGAATTGGGGCAGCAGAGAAATATTTTCTATCTCTATTCTTTTTTAGTGCAGGTGACTAAAACAATAATACAACAAATCACTCCTTGGTTTTTACAGTACAACAGAGACCATGGGCAACCATCGAAACGTAAGCCACTGCCTCCCCTCCCACCATCTGAGGTTACCGAAGAGAAGATCCAAGTAAAGGCACTGTATGATTTCCTGCCCAGAGAGCCGTGTGATTTAGCATTGAAGAGATCAGAGGAATACCTCATACTGGAGAAGTATAACCCTCACTGGTGGAAGGCAAGAGACTGTTTAGGGTAGGAACCATGCCACGGTCCTCATCGAATTCCTCCTCATTTATCCTCTGAAGACTTCTGAAGCAGAAAATCTGCGCTGTGGCTCTTTTTCTCTGGGTTTAGAATTCTTCCTTCTGCATGAGCAGAACCTGTCCCCACACGTTCTATCTGTATGAGAGAGCATGACAGCCCTGCGATTTCAGGCAGAGTCACAGAACTGCAAACACCTGGCTTCACGTTCCCATGCCCGTCCCCATGCCCGTCCCCATGCCGTCACTTACTACTGTATGTCCTTTTGCCAGTCACTTACCTTGTCTGAGTTTCCCTCCCTCCCTCCCTCCATTCCTTCCTCCCTCCCTCCCTTCCTTCCTTCCTTCCTTTATTGAGATATAATTGACATATGACATTATATTGGTTTCAGGTGTACAATGTAATAATTTGAGATATATATATATATATATATATATACATATATATGTGTGTGTGCATATATATATATATAAATGAATGATCACAACAATATGTGTAGTTAATATCCATCACTCCAAATAGTCACCAAAATTTTTTTTCTTGCGATGAAAACTTTTATGATTGACTCCCTTAGCAATTCTCAAATACGCAACATAGTATGATTGACTAGAATTGCTATGTGGTACATTACATTCCCATGACTTCTTTATTTTATAATTGAAGCTTTCTACCTTTTGGCCTCCTTTACCTATTTCATCCACCCTCTACTCCCTGCCTCTGAGCTTGTTTTTTTTTTTTTAATTAAAAAATTTTTTAGATTCCATATATAATTGAGATCATACAGTATTTGCCTTTCTTATCTGACTTATTCCACTTAGCATAATGCCTTTGAGATCCACCATGTTGTTGCAAAAATTAAGACTTTCTCCTGTTTTATGACTAATTTTCTGTTGTTTATATATATATATATGTCTTTGTGTCATCCATCCATCCATCAATGGACACTTACGTTGTTTCCATATCTTGACTATTACAAACAATGTTGCAATGATCAGGAGAGGTACACACATCTTTTTGAGTTAGTGTTTTCATTTTCTTGAGATAAATAGCAGAAGAATCACTGTATTGTATGGTCATTCTATTGTGAATGCGCTTTTGTTTCTTTATTTGTAAAATATGGGAATAATGATTTCTACCAGATAGGCTTTTTTCCTGATTTACACTTTCTTTGAGTATTTGAATTCTTTTTTTCTGTTAAGCTCTAAGAGAGGAACAGAAACAGTATCTCGCTCATTTTCCCATTTCTGCAATGACTAGCTTTGGAAGTAAACATTGCAGTACTTGCTGAATTAAATTGGTAGGAAGAAAAGACCTTGGGGTGCAAACGGACGTCACTGTGTCGAGGGCAACAGGTTGTTAATACCAGGCTAGAGTCCGAGGTAGACGCTCTGAGGGGGATCTGGGCTGCCTGGGGGAGAATGCTGGCATTTGACTTCTATTCTTCGTGATGATTTGGAGATGATAAGTATCTAAGTATTAGAAGTAGCTGGATTACATACCTCTCTCTTTAATTATATTTTCCTGATGATTTAGCCCTCTTGCCAGATTTTAGTTTTGACTTAAACATGTGATGGACACTTTCTAGTGGGAAAGAGGTATGAGTAGGCTCAGGACCATGTAATTAGTCCTCCTGTGGGTTGACATTGGCATGACTCAGACTTTAAAAAAAGATGAATTAATTTTTCATTTCAAAGTTAATAAGTGAATATCGCTTTTTTTAATATGCCACCATGATAAACAATGCCTCCAGACCCAAGCACCAGTATTCACTTAGTGAGAACCTTCCAGAAAATTTTCATTGCACTTCCATGTACATACTAAAATATATATTCTTGTTTGCAGATTTAGTTCATCTAATTCTTATCAGGCTTAATGCACTGTTCTGCAACTTGCTTGGATTTCTCAATAATGTCATGGAGATCTTTTTGTGATTTTTAATTTCATATTTAATTGGTGAAGGTATAGTAAAAGAAAAACCCCTACCCTGCTGACAGATGTGTAAATTGGTATATTTTCCTTCAATAGCAATTTGCTCTGTCTAAGGGGAGATGCACATATTTGGTGACCCAGGGACTTCCCTGTTTGGTATGTCTTAGAGAAGTACTTTTTCCGGTGTACAAGGACACATGTTCATGTGTTTCTGAGTGACAATGTTATAATAAGGACATGGATAACCTAGCATGTCTATTTTATCTATTTTGCAGCAATTAAAAAAATTAAGTTGATATCTTTGCTGTTGCTGTGTTTATCATGTAGTCACTGTGATACCCCGATGACCTCGTCAGTGCTGCTTTTCCTCTTTGAAAAATCTGAGTGTTCCAAAACATCTTAAATTACTTCCATTGTAAGTCAGAATCTTAGTATTTATCATACAAGGATTTTGGCTGAATATGGAAGTGAAAAATCCTTTTTTTTTTCTTTCAGCAATTTAATCAGTAAGACGAGTTTGATTTCCCCCATGTCCTTGAGATTTTAAAAGGATTGCTGTCATGATGATGCCACAGATATGCCAAGCATTTTGATTTTTGCTTTGTCTTTTGTTGTAGGAATGAAGGCTTAATCCCAAGCAACTATGTGACCGAAAACAAAAGAAGCAATCTGGAAATATATGAGTAAGTCTCCTCGAAAATATGCCCTCGGGTTGATCTATGAAAATCAGGTACATTTGGGAGGCTTACGAGTATACAAGCTGGTTTTGATCTACAAAAGGAAAAGAAAGTAACACATTTGGCTGCTTTAGTTTGAGAGATCTTTGATCCTTATAATGGTTGATTCAGAAACTTCGTTTTCTTAAACTTCTTTTTGTTTTGTTTTGTATGACCGCTTTTTGGGGGTTTAACAGTGACTGCATGGAAACCAAACATGCATCTTGGTCTTGTTTTACTCTACGTCCTAAGTGGAAAAATAACTATTCCAAAAATAACCTTAGTTTTTTAATGAGTGGCAAATTGAACCTAACGCAGAGACACACAACTCTATTTTGGCTCATGTTTTGATACATTTTAGAAATAGCTGAAGATGAGAAGTAGGCTAATGCTGTAGGTTGGGGGGAATTTTTGGTGTGTTCACTAGGGTTCTACTCAGAAACCTATTTTGGGGGCACCTGGGTGGCTCAGTTGGTTAAGTGACTGCCTTTGGCTCAAGTCATGATCCTGGAGTCCCAGGATGGAGTCCTGCATTGGGCTCCCAGCTCCACTGGGAGTCTGCTTCTCCCTCTGACCTTCTCCCCTTTCATGCTCTCTCTTACTGTCTCTCTTTCAAATAAATAAATAAATAAAGTCTTAAAAAAAATTAAAACCATTTTTTTTTACAATATATAGATTTGGAAGGTGGAGATCTTAGCACTTTTCTAGCGCCCCATTCTGCAGATCAGAAACTCAGGTTGTGAGAGCAATTTATAAGCAGAGAGTGGCAAAGCTGGGAGTAGTCCTGGTCTTTTACAAATTCAGCTTTGCTTAAGTTTTAGCTCTTGACTGCCCTCCCCCAGTTTAGATACTCGCTTCACAATTAGCATATGCTTCCAGCCCCGGGGCGCATGTGGAGGGAGGTGATGTGGGTTGAGGCTTCTCAGAAAACCAGGCAGCAAATATAAATTGAATGAGAACCAACCCCTCCTTCCCAGCCCCTAGTTGCTTGTCTTGCTACTAATTTAAGCCCACCTGGAGGCCAGACTCAGCATCTCTCTCCCTAAAACAAATCCGATTCTAAAAGTATTGGCGGGGTGGTGGGGGTGGGGGTGGTGTGCATATGTGTGTGCCTGGATGGCTCAGTGGGTTAAGCCTCTGCCTTTGGCTCAGGTCACTATCCCAGCATCCTGGGATGGAGCCCCACATCAGGCTCTCTGCTCAGCCTTGAGCCTGCTTCCCCACCTGTCTCTACCTGCCTCTCTGCCTACTTGTGATCTCTGTCTGTCAAATAAATTAATAAGGGGGGGGGGCAGGAATAAGTGAGGGCTCACCCACTTGAGTGTCTGATTCTTGGTTTTGGCTCAAGTCCTGATCTAAAGGCCTGTGGGGTGGAGCCCCAAGTGGGAGTCTGCCTGAGGATTCTCTCCCTCTGCCCCTCCTCCCACTCGCATGTGCACACGCACGCCCATGCTCTTTCTCTCTCTACAATAAATCAATCTTTAAAAGCACTGGTGGGGCGCCTGGGTGGCTCAGTGGGTTAAGCCTCTGCCTTCAGCTCAGGTCATGATCTCAGGGTCCTGGGATCGAAGCCCGCATCGGGCTCCCTGCTCAGCGGAGAGCTTGCTTCCCGCTCTGTCTCTGCCTGCCTCTCTGCCTACTTGTGATCTGTCTGTCAAGTAAATAAGTAAAATCTTAAAAGAAAAAAAATTAGAAAAAAAATAAAAGCACTGGTGAATAATGTAGACTCTATTGGAGGGGACGAAGGGATGACTATAGGACACATGACACATCTGCGTGACTTTACCAGGCTTCTCTATGAGCTACTTCTGTTCTCTCTCCCATCTCTCTGCTTAGTACCATCACAGGTCACTTCTGTCTTCTCCGTCCTTCACTCAGTTTGTCACGCCCCCTCTCTTGACCTGAGTCGTTTAGTCCTGTCCTGAAAGTCTGGCCTCTACTCAGTAAGACAAAGACCCCAAGTGACTGAACACACTGTCCTAACACAGCAGTTTCACTACTATGTTCCCTCACTGCCAAGTACATACTCCCTGGAGGGCTCTCCACTGCCTCCATCTGGAGCTGCCCAATAGGTCTCTTTGAAGGTCAGGTCAGGGCAAGTTCTGTGTGAAAAATCTCCTTCTGAGAAAAATAAGACGTTTTTCCATAATGTAAACCCAGGTCAGACTTTCCAGGAGATTAAAGGAGATAGGTGTGAAAGTACGTAACACAGTGCCCCGTAGTGAGTGAATGGGTGTTCACCAACCAACAGTGTAACTTTCCTTCCTTTCATTATTAATTAAGTTGTTGACTGCTTCCTTAGTCTAGATGAGGGTTGGAGTTGACCCTTAACAGCTTGTTCATATTGTAAATACTGGGTAATTTGAATTAAACTACCCCAAACTTAGAATAATCTTCTCATTTTCTTGGCTTTGATTTATATCTTTAAAGATAATCTTCTTTAATTATCTAATTGTGAGAAGATTAACTTTAATTTGTTTCTTTTTAAAGGGGTTTATTAAAATATAGATATAATAATTATCAATATAAGTTGCTAAAATATATAAATATATCCACCACTTACTATGTGCCAAGCACCATTCTAATGACTGTAGAAATTATGGCCCCAGGTTGAAAACTGTAGGATGGGCTTAGAAATGAGAGAAATCTGGGTTCAAATCCTGACATCACCACTGGTTAGAGCTTGGGCTCTGGGCAAGATTCCCAAATACCTATAAACCTCTCAATGATATGAAAACTGGGAACTGTGATACCTGTCTTGTGTAAGACATAGACAATATTTGATACGTTCTAGAACTGTGAAGTTAACGGAAGGGCATTTTCCAGTTTGCCTGCTATTATAGAGGTGCCACATTTCCTAGTTACCTCAGCCCCTGAGTCACTCCATCTATTCAATCTTCATTTATTGTCCACGTACGACGTGCTGGGTGTTAGCTGTTCTGGCCCCTGGAGATACAACATGTAACACACAGAAGCACTCCCTGTTTTCGTGGAACTTACAGCTTCATGGGGAAATAGACATTAAACATTAACCTCAAATTCACAAACAAAATTTGAAATTTGAAATTGTGGTGTCATGGAGGAATAGTAGGGGACACTGGGAGAAATCAACAGGGAAGGCTAAAAGCTGAGGACGTTGGGATAGGGCAAACCCTCGGAGGAAGTGACTTGAGGTCAAGTCTACTTGAGGAAGTAGAAGGCATTCGGGAGGGACTGGGGGAAGGAGTGCTGTGTTAGTGGGATTTTGACATCTCAGGGGATCCTTTATACTTTGAAATATTTATGGATACTTTGGTTAAATTAATATCCAAATGATCAAGATTACAATGTGAAAACCTGATTTTCGGTAAGCCTTCAAATCTTGATACACTGTTTATAAATCTAAAAAATTAAGAACAGTCACCTTAATTCAAACCCAGCAAGCCGTGTCCTTAAACAATCAGTCCTACTTATAAGCTCAATTAATTTAATTTCCTGAAACATTTCACTTGCCTTAATAAACTTGAATGAATTCAATTTTCTGTTTAAGTATTTTACATGCCCGACAGGGACAAATTTACAATTTTAATAGCCCTTTGTAAGTCCATATAGGATCCTGGAAATCTAATAAATTAAACGTGTATGTGGTAAGCCAAATTCTTGTGACCATACAAATATTAAAAAAGTCAAATTCCCTTAAATTTCAAATTGTAAGTTTGAAATTATTTATGCATTTAAAAATCAGAGGCAAAAAATTATGTCAGATTCTCTTAAAATAATACTTTTATTTTTTTGAAAGACAGAGAGAGTGAGGAGAGAGAGAGCGAGAGAGCGAGCACAAGTGGGGGGAGGGGCACGAGGAGGGGGAGAAGCAGACTCCCCACTGAACAGGGAGTCCCCTGTGCATCTCCAACCCAGGACCCCGAGATCATGACCTGAGCTGAAGGCAGATGCTTAACCGACTGAGCCACTTAGGTGCCCCAATAATAGATAGTTTAAATATCAAACATATTGCTTATGCTGAAATTTACGGAAATATGAGTCTCATTTATTGCATTATCTCTATACTGAAAGCTTCATCTTCTCAGGGGTAGAAATGACTAAGAGAAGCAGATTTACCTTCTTAATTCTAACAGGTTTTCTAGGTTGAAAACTCAAGACCACAATACTGTTACTTATTGACTCGAAGACTGAGACAGGAAGACCCTAGGCTTACACGTATACAAGATGTTTGTACTTGGCAACAGTTGGACATGCTGGATGGTTTTCAGACGCCAGTAGATCCCCACTCCAAACCCTCTGTCCACATCATTCAGTATGAGTTTTATAATCAGTGTTGTCTAGGTACAAGGGTTGCAGCTTTACGTATTGAAAAAAAACAACAACCCACAAAAGTCTTCTTTCACTATCTGATTTAACCAGACGAAATTCTGAAACACCATGACCCCACCTCTCTTATATCCTATCCATCTATTCTTTTTTCTGCCTGTTGAAATTCTGCATTATTTTAAAGGATATTAAATTCATCATATACTTGACTCTGGTTCTTCTCTTACTACTTTGAAGTCATTCTAATGACAGTCACATATGGATGGATTTTCAACTTATATTTAAGCAAAATTAATATATTTGCTTATATTATTTATCACTATAATAAGTAAGTACAAAGCAACAAAATTAACACTAATGTGATTGCAGGTTAAAAACATAAACAATTTATGTGAAGTTTTTTTAAAAAGATTTTATTTATTTGAAAGAGCAGGAGCATGGGCACACGCACGCTTGCGTGAGTGAGGGGAGGGGCTGAGGGGGAGGGAGAAGCAGACTCCCACTGAGGAAAGAGCCCCATGTAGGACTCGATCCCAGGACCCTGAGATCATGACCTGAGCCAAAGCCCAACACTTAACCAGCTGAGCGACCCAGCGCCCTGTCTCACTTATTTTGAAATAATTTTTTCTTTCTACAACTAGAATTCTCAGACTCATTCTGAAAGTCCCTGAAAGTCATGAATATATGAATATTCATTAAAAGGTCTGAATGATATTCACAGTCCAACATCACAATTAACTCCCATTCCCACTAGTGATAAGTAGTCCAATTATTTCATCTAGAATCACCTGTAATCATCCTCTCTTCTCTATGCTTTATCTTTTTAAAAGTTTATTTTCAATTGAGGCCATTAGTATTTTTAATACCTCACCATTCTAATTTAGTGGCAGCTTTTTACAATTGTAGGTTAGTCCACAAGATATAATAGATTCTGTCCTCAAAGTCAGATAGAGGAGTTTCATGTAGCTACCATTTTGCCTACCCACTGTGACAATGTATGGTTATATATGCATCCTTCCTTCCACTGTCCACAAAAATAACATTTATTACATTAACTCCTTTTTAAGATCTTATTTTGAAATGAAAGCTTTTCCATTTGTTTTCTCTCTCCTTTGTTCTACCCATTTCCTCTCTCTTTCCTGTACAACATTTGCTTAATGACAAAGTCTTGTCCTGCCAGACTATGGGTTTCAATTATACTCATTTAATTATGTTTACTCTGCATGGTTCTGATATTCTAAAGTCATTTCATGATATGTTTCATACAGAGGAAACAGCAAGATAGGAGGCAGAAAGGGGCTTGGTGGATTTGAGGAAGGAAAGGATTCCAATATGACCGAAGCTTAGTGTGAGGAGAGAATAAGCAGAAGGATAAGAGGGTGTTTGGAATAGCAGGTACTAGTTGTTCCACTTATGTTATTGAACCCCTAATTTTAACTACAAGTTAACATACTTGGGGGAGTCAAACGGGTCCAAGTAAGTTTTAATTTTGGAAAGGTAACATGGCATATCTAAAATCATGCAGATAGGAGTTCCTAAGAGCAAAGAAATGGGGATTTGTTAGTTTGTCTACCAAAGTTCGGTAAATGTTTATTAAAGATGATGACTTCTTAACCACATACACTTCATGAAAATTTTCAGGAGATTAAATCACTCCAAATCATATACCAAATATCTGTCAGAAAGTTGAATTGAGATATGATAGAATAAGCTAGATATTGACTTACAATTATTAAAATTATTATACTAAATTAATGACACATAATAGTAATATTGTCATTTATCAGAAATAAAAAATGCTCAACTTTCTAAAATCAATTCTGTAGTAAAGTTCTTAAAAATAAAGGAAATGAAGCAGAGTTTTTTTTTCTGAAAAAATAGAATATAAAATTTTAAAATTATTTTTATTGCTTTTACAGGTGGTACCATAAAAACATTACCAGAAATCAGGCAGAACGTATTTTGAGACAAGAGGTAATTCAGTTTTTTCATGAATAACTTGTGAATATTTTCCAAATTTCTGAGAGAGCTACATTGTAAAGATCTGACCAAACTAAAAAGTTCTATTACTTCCTGTTCTTTACAGTTCTAAAATATTTATTACAGCTTTATCTCTATTACGCATTTTCCGAGAAGTTGTAAACCAGGTGTATTTGTATCAGCTCATGTTTTTCATTGACTTTCATTGTAACTTGAGCAATGTATTTTTCCTGAAATGATTTCAACTCCAACATACTAAAACTCCTCATTCACTCCAAAGCGCATTCTGCAGCAGAGTCTGTATTGGAATTGCCCATATACTTCTGCATCACAGACAATAAAATATATACTCTGTCTTCATGAGCATAGCTAAGGCTTCTTAAAAACACAGATACAGAAAAATACCGATAGCGGCTCTTTCTTTGTTCTTTGGGAACAAAAAGGAAGAGCGGGGTAGCCAAAACATCAAACTCAGATCAAAACTGCTCTTTTAGGTCAAAGCAAAACAAAACTGAATACAGTTTCCAACGGACGGTAAATATGAACTGTGCGCAAATAAAGAGTCAAACCTAGAAACTAGGTAAGAGGTATATGTGTCACTTTGCCCTGCTGTCAGATGTTGAGGAAATCTAGAAATATGAGTGAGAAAGAATCAGTTCTGTAGCGCAAAGTCAATGCCAGTAATGGCTCAATACCCAGGGGAGGTCCAGTGAGTAGCGGGGGGTTAGACAGAGTTTGAGGGACACAGACTTGGTCTCAGCTGGCAGGCAGGGGGTGGGAGTGGAGGTTGAAGGCCAGGTGTGGCTTCACTGGCTAGGAGGAAATGGGACATGCCAGCAAATGTGGTACCTGGCATGGTGACAGCAGGTGGCCTTCTGTAGAGTGATATTAGTAGGTCTAGAATGGACAAACAATGTTATGACAAGTAGGCAAGAGAGACTCTTCAGGAAGCCAGAACAGAGCCAGGGGCTGACCTCCCTAGAAAACAGGGAATTACGTAACAAACCCCCCCATACCCATAACCCAGACAGCACAAATAGCAACATTTGGCCATAACATTCATAAACAAAATAAAACCTAACAGATGAAATTGAAACCTATCCCTTTGCTCCTCTGTTCTGTCCCCGCCCATTCTCCAGAGGTCATCACAATAGAAGGGTGTGCGCCCATTGTGTCCAATTGCTTATATTCTTATCATGTATAGGTGCATTCATAACCTATAGTGTTGTGTGTTTTAACGCTTAACATAAGGGAGATCATGTGTATGTTGATTTTTAATGAAACATTGTATTTCAATTTTACTCCCATGGATACATGGAGAGCAAACACATTCTTTTAACCGTGGCATTTCATTATATGAGTATACCAAAATGTATTTCTAATCATTCACCTTGCATCTAACTTCTTAGTATTATGAACAAGGCTGCCAAGAACTTCTGTGTACATATTACCTTGTACAAAAGGGCAAGGGTTTCTTTCGGTTATACCCAGAAATGATCTGGCCAGAAACTATGTGCAGACTTAGCATTACTAGATATTTTGAAATCATGACTCAAAGTACTTGTACTAATTGATATTCTTACAAGGAATCCGAAAACTGGTCCCCTACGTTCTTGCCAACAGTTGGTAGCCTCATACTTTGATTTACTGGAAAATGATATTTATATTTTAAAATGTGCATTTCCTTGATACGCAGTTCAGTTCAGTGACTTTTCATGTGTGTGCTAGCTAGTTGGGCTTCCTTACATGACTGCTAATATCCTTTGCTCATTTTTTGATAGTTTGCTTTTGTAGCTGATCAATATGTATTTTAATTTTATTTATTTATTTTTTAAAGATGCATTTATTTATTTATTTGACAGAGATCACAAGTAGGCAGAGAGGCAGGTAGAGAGAGAGAGGAAGGGAAGCAGGCTCCCTGCTGAGCAGAGAGCCCGATGCGGGGCTCAATCCCAGGACCCTGAGATCATGAGCTGAGCCGATGTAGAGGCTTAACCTAATGAGCCACCCAGGCGCCCCGATCAGTATGTATTTTAAAAGTATATTCTGAATCTTTTGTCAGTTGTTTGTTACCACTATGTTCTTTTGATTTTTGGCCCTAAAATTTTTTTAATGCTCTTTTCTTATTTTAAATTTTAAAATAAGTTAGTGTCAAATTTCTCAATTTCTACGATCTCTCTCTTTTTTAGCATAATAAATTCTTCTCTCTCTTGATGTCTCAAAGGGGATTTATATTTTCTTTTAAATGGTTTAAAGATTTACTTTTAATATTTAGGTCCTAATATGTTCAAAGTGTGTATGTGTGTGTGTATATGTATGTGTTATGTGGGTGGGTATTTTAAAAAATATACATATTTTCCCTACATATCTTAAAATATTTGTGTAATTTGTATATTTTCCATTTTTTTGAAAGTACCTGGATTAAATCCTACTTGGTCATGAAGCATTTAAAACATATATATTGCTAGTTTGAATTTCTTAATACTACTTTAGCATTTGTCCTGTTATGTTCACAAGAGGTCTGGCTTTTAATTTCCAACTCTCTTTGTTTAGTTTTAGTATTAAGGCTATAATAGCATCAAAAATGAGTTGGGACATGAGGTTTTGTCTCTTTTTACAATCTTTAAAATAGTTTATATTGAATAGAGGTTATTTGTTCCTTGAAGTTATATATATCTCTCATAAAATAATGTGGACATGCTGCTTTTTCAAACAGATATTTGACTATTGATTTAATTCCTTTTCTTCTTGAGATGTTTAAGAACTTACATTTGCATGGAGAATTACTTACTTTATTTTCTAATTGATTGCATAAGTTTTTATAGGTGTATCTTATAATTTTATTTATTTCATATTTTAATAGTATATTTATACAGTTTAAAAATCAAAAGATTTTGAATTTTCTTCTATCCTTGTCCCCAAGACACCAGTTCCGTTTCCCATCAACAAACTTCTATTATTGGTTTATTTTGTGTCCTTTCAGAAATATTTAATACATATACCAGTAGAAATATATTTTCTTATATTGTTATTCTTATGCAAATGGTACATATTATATATATTCTTGTGTATATCATATTTTTCACTCAGCAGTATGTGTTGGGAAGGAAACTGTTCACGTCAGTGCACAGAAAGTGTCCTCATTCATTCTAGAGCTGCGTAATATTTTTTACTCTGGACATACCACAATTCATTTAAGAAATTTAATGGAAGGGTGGAGAGCTGGACTCTGGTTTCCAATTGGTTGTGATCTTAGGGTCCTGGGATTGTCTGCGTGGGACTCTGCACTTGGCCGGGAGTCTGTCTCGAATTCTTTCTCCCTCCCCCTCTACCCCTCCCCATCCTTGTGCTCTCTCTCTAAAATAAATAAATAAAATCTTAAAAAAATTAATGGGAATTTAAGTGGTATATACTCTTTTGCTATTAAAATGGTGCTGCCATAGGTAACTTACCTATACATCCTTTCCCATTTATGGGAGTATATATGTGGAATAAATCCCCCAAGGTAGAAATTCTGGGTCGAGGGGAATGTACATTTCTACTTTTGGTAGGTATTAAAGTATACTCTATAGGAGTTGTACAATTTATGTGCCTCCTAAAAATGTAAGAGCGCCCATTTCTTCACAACCTTTCCAGCAAGTGTTTAATGAAATGTGTGGCACTTTGTAACCATCAGTGTGGGTTTCATTTATATCTCTCTTATCCCAGGAATGCTAAGCATTTCTGTGTATATGAAATTTTATATATTTGTATCTCTTTTTCTGTAAGCTGTCTGTTCATATCCTTTGCAAAATTTTCTGGGTTTTTTTTTTAATGATTTCCTCATAATCTGTAGGACCTATGTGGCTACATTATGGAAATTAGCTCTTTGTGATATGTGGCAATAATTTTTGCAGTTTTTTAACTGTTTTATATATATATATATATATATATATATATATATATATAGCCATAAATAGTGCTTGAATTTTATGTGTTTGAATTTATCAGACAAATTTTTGTAAAGCTTCAGGGTTTGTGTCAGGTTGGAATTATCTTACTCACTCTGAGCTTATTAAAAAATCCCCATGTTTTTTATTACTTTAGGGGTTTTATTTTTACATCGACATGTTTGATTCATTTTAATTATTCCTGATGTAGAGTGAGGTATGGATCTGATTTTATTGTTTTTCTGGATGGTTACCAAGTGTCTATCTTTTCTGTATTGATTTGAGCTGCCACTTTTATCATAAACACAGCTCCTGTGTTGGACTACATCTGGACTCACTACTTGGTTTCATTGATAGCCTGTGTATTTAGGTGATGGCCTTATAATATTTCAAATACTGAGGCTCTCTTTGTGTGGCTAGTTTCCCTCATTCTTCTCTTCCAGAAATACTCTGGAGATATATTTTATACATATGAACTTGCCTAGTTTTAAAAAGCTTCCTGCTGGTGCATTAAATTTACAGAGTAATTTAGGGAAAATTGTTTGGGCATTACAAGTCAGTGGGGCTTGGGGATCAATTTGTTCTGGGACCCGTATATTAATGATTCTTATAGAAAAAATTAAAATGAGGTCCCTACTTCAAGCAAAAATAAGTCTTGGATGCATTGAAAACCTAATTAGAAAAGCAAACATCTTTATATTCTTTAGGAGCATTTAACTGATTTATTTTTAAAGATTTATTTATTTATTTGAGAGACATTGAGAGAGAGAGAAATTGCATGTGCAGTGGGGTCAGGGAGGAGAAAACCTCCAAGCAGACTCCAGGCTGAGCACAGAGCCCAGCATGGGGCTTGATCTCAAGACTCTGAGATCATGACCTGAGCTGAAACCAAGAGTCGGTCACCCAACTGATTGTGCCACCCAGGTGCCCCTTTAGGAGCATTTTATTTATTTATTATTTTTTTAGAGATTTTATTTATTTATTTGACAGACAGAGATTACAAGTAGGCAGAGAGGCAGTCAGAGAGAGGAGGAAGCAGGCTCCCTGCTGAGCAGAGAGCCCGATGTGGGGCTCGATCCCAGACCCTGGGATCACGACCTGAGCCGAAGGCAGAGGCTTTAACCCACTGAGCCACCCAGGCTCCCCTTTAGGAGCATTTTAAAGTTTTCTTCATATAACTCTTACACATTTATTTGTAAGTTTATGTAAGGCTTTCTTATTTTTTTTTGTTGCTACTATATATACATATATATATATATTTTTTTTTTTTTAAACTTATGAAAGCTCTTGAGTTCTGTGAATTAATTTTGTAACAGAAGACTTCGGTGAATTCAAAATTTTTTTGGTAGTAGTTTTTTAGTTGATTCTCCTGAGTTTCAAGTAGAACCTTATCAATAGCAAACAGTGATGATTTCAACTCCTTTTTACAATTTAATACAGTATTTCTTGGTGGGGTTTTTTTTGTTTGTTTGTTTTTGTTTTTACCTCTCATTTAACTGCATTAGCTGCCATCTTAGAATATTAAATCCCAGTGCTGACAGTGGGCATTTCTTTTTCCTGATTTCAGTTGGAGTGATTCTCACAGAAAGCATAATGCTGGACTTGGAACGAATGTAAATATGGGCTATTGTGTTAAGGAAGTACATATATATAATGATTTTACTGAGAATTTAAAGAAAACTGATTCTAGAAGTTGAAATTTGTCAAATGCCCTTTCAATATCTATGGTGATGTTCATGAGATTTTTCTCCTCAGATCTATTAATTATATTAATAAAATCCCTAATATTGATTACTTTTTCATTCCTGCATGTAATCCCTCTTGGTCATAGTATACTATTTTACTGTGCTACTGGATTCAGTTTGTTAATATTTAATTAGGATTTTTGAGTGGACATGAGTGAGACTTGTTAGTAATTTTCCCTTTTGTACACAATTTTTACTGTGTTGTTGGTGTTGATATTAAACCCATTTTATATACAAATTTAGTTTTTCTTCTTTTCACATGCTCTGGAATCATGCAACATCACAATATGTCTCCATCGTGTGTGTGTTTTTTTAAGATTTTTATTTATTTATTTGACAGAGAGAGAGAGATCACAAGTAGGCAGAGAGATGGGCAGAGAGAGGGGGAAGTGGGATCCCCGCTGAGCAGAAAGCCCCATGCGGGACGCGATCCCAGGACCCCGAGACCATGACCTGAGCCGAAGGCAGAGGCCCAACCCACTGAGCCACCCAGGCATCCCTCCATAGTGTTTTTAATGTTGTAGCTCTTTTAAAATCTTATCCAAGGGAACCTGGGTGGCTCAGTGGGTTAGGCCTCTGCCTTCAGCTCGGTTCATGATCTCAGGGTCCGAGGATCGAGCCCCGCGTCAGGCTCTCTGCTCGGCGGTGAGCCTGCTTCCTCCTCTCTGCCTGCCTCTCTGTCTACTTGTGATCTCTCTCTCTCTCTCTGTTGAATGAATAAATAAAATCTTTAAAAATAAAATAAAATAAAATAAAATCTTATCCATTTTCCCATTCAGTAGGTCCATTAACATTTCCAGGTCTCCTGGAATGAATTTTGATAAATTTTATGTTTTGCTAGTTGATCACTCATTTCATTCAAGTTTTCAAATGTATTGTGTAGAGTCAAGATGATTCTTTCATTTTTTTCCTGGATCTTGGTGGCTTATTTTCTTAAAATATATTTTCCCTGTAATTTACTAATTAGATCAGTTAGCAAGTTACCTATTTCATTGTTTTTCCATCTATAACCAGATTTTGAATTTAATGCCTAGTTCTGTTATATTTTTGTTTTTATAATCGATTATTTTCTGCTTTTGTCTTCATTCATCTCATTCTTCTACTTGACTTGGTTCTTGTCCCAACGTGTGGAGGTAGATACATTTATTTTGTATTTCCTTTGTTTACTGTTGTAAGTAATAAGACAACACTGTTTGAACTATTTGGCAGTTTCTGATACGTGACAGGTCTTTATTATTTTCTAGATGTTTTCATTTTTACTTGAATTTCCTTGAGTTATATAAAAGAGAACTTAAAAATGTAATGCAGTAGTAGCTTTCTCCTTTGGGGCTTGTTATTAATTTCTACTTCTATCGTTTTGTGGTCATGCCTGTTGTTTGCACTCTCTCCACCTTGAAGAGGAAGTCACTACCTAGACAACTTGACTAAACGCATGGTGTCTATGTGTTTGTGTATATGTACTCCCTGCGTATCTACTGCACATACAACTTGGTTTTTTACCTTTTCATCTTTTATATCTTCTGTCCTCTGTGGTGTGTAACACAATCCTTGGACACGGTAGGAATTCAATAAAAGCCAGACTTTTATTATTTTAAAAGGTTATGAGAGTTTGTTTTTTTTTTTTAGTTTTAAAGTTTGACCAGAAAATGAGCCTTGTTCCTTGGTCAGCATCTAGAAGGAAGGAAAGACTGTGCTCAATGTGTTGTGCTCACTTTGAGGGTCACACCTTGGTGTTCGCTTTGGGCAGTTCTCAGGCAAGTTGATGGCACTTCGAAAGTGTAAACCTTCACACGTTTGGCAAACTTCTGAGATATTTCCCTCTCCACAAGGGTAAACACACCCAGTAAAGGTAGAAATTTTTTTTTTTTACACTCTCAAACAAACAACACAAACCAAACAGTCCAACATTCAATGTCATTTGAAAACCATTTACAGCTTTACTGGGGTTTCCCAGAGGATGTCAGTGGGACTCCAGTTCATAATCGAACATCAAACTTGTAATATTCTTCTCTCCTGCTGATTCTCTTCTTGCCTGTCCCATTCTCTGGAGGCAGCTAAAATCACTCCTCTGCTCTTCTCTCCAGATGCCCCTAAAGCTTATTCTCTCTCCATCCCTGTCATGGATTCTGCTCATTTTTCCTCCTCCCTGCTTTTCCAGATGTATTTCTCACTGCTTCCCTCGCTGCATCTGCCGCGTTGTTTCTTTTCTTCCATAATACAAGCTGGTGATCTGTCTTACTCTGCTTCCTGTCCATCAGCGATGTGTGTCTATTACCTTGATCAATATAACAGAAATAACGAAATGGGGTACAAGGTTGTCAAATGCAGAATTTTTCTTAGAAAAATCCAGAACAAGGTTTTAAAAATACTCATACATTATAAATTTTTGTCCCAATTAAATATTTTTGTAGGTAGGACTTCTAAACATATAAGGGAGATAAGATTGCATATATTTGTGAAAATATTCTCTTCCATTTGTAGGAAGTCAGTAGGGTTTGGTTTTTATTCCTGAGATGGAGGTTTGTTTTTCTTCCTAAGAAGGACTAAATTTGTACAATGAATTGTTTTGCAGTCGAAAGAAGGTGCATTTATCGTCAGAGATTCAAGACATTTGGGATCCTACACAATTTCTGTGTTTATAAAAGCTAGAAGGTAAGCAACTGTGATTTTGATCACTTTAGAGGTAAAAATCCTTGGGACAGTCTTATGGAGACACTTGTCACATGGAGAAAGAGATATCACAGAACAGGAGACTGTTGGTCTGGAAGTTAGTACAACTGACTGGTATGAGTTGCATTCCTAACAAACTCTGTGTGTGACATTGATAAGTTAACGGGACTTGTCCCACCTCCTTTCCTCAACCACGAGGAAGTTGGCTTGGTGGTAGCAGGTAGAGGTGGTGCTTTCCTCGTATCCCTTGGTTTACCTTGGGGTTTACCCATAGAGTGTTCTGCACTGAGAAAGCTTCTTGTGCCTTCCTACTGAAGGGTGTTCTCTGGCTGTGGGAACTCGTGGTCCCCAAGCGTAGACTGGTGGTGCCTGAGAATTAGCATCCTAGGAGCAACCCTCCATCAAGGGGGAATGGAAGATTAGCCTTTCAGCTCCTTTGGATTTTTGTGGGACAATTCTCAGATGTGTTCCACAGTCTCTCGGGGCTGCCCAGAGTCCCCATAGCTCATAGCAAACCCGCTCATCAACATACTCTCGGTTCTCCTCCTTTCTTTGTTTCATATCTCCTTATGTCCCTCACAGTAAAATTATTCACTCACTGAACTGACACTGATATTCAACAAATACTTATAAGTGTCCCTAATGGGCTCTTCTGTTTTGGACACTGGAGTTGTGCACTCAACAACTTTGGCTGGAGTTATGTTCGAATCTAAGGACCCAGTAAGATGGCTCAGGAATTTAGCCAGTGGTGACGAGGTACTAGTTGACTAACTAGTCAACTAACTAGTTGACTAACTGCAGCGTGTAGTGTCCCTAGGATAAATGTTTCAGAGGTGGAGTCCTGTTGCTTCATGAAATTTGACTTAGTTTCAAAGTGGTCTTTTGCTTGTTTACTAATTCACGTTCTATTGACTGTAGGAATATGGAGGCTACCATCAAACATTACCAGATTAAAAAGAATGACTCAGGACAGTGGTATGTGGCTGAAAGACACCTCTTTCAATCAATCCCTGACTTGATCTGGTATCACCAGCACAATGCGGCAGGTAAGTCAGGAGCTTCAGGCTGGGAGAGTCAGGGAGCCTGGCCCCCAGGCAGGCAATGCGTCTTTGGTCTCAGACACTTTAACAGGAACAAATACCCCTGCAGAGATCTGTAAGTGCTTGAAATACAACCTGTGTTCTGAATAATTCTCCTCATTGATGCTTTTTTGTTTTTCTAGTGAGGGGCCAAGAGGTAGGTTGATTTTTTTTACATTTCTGCCAGGTTAGAAAAATGATAGCTGGCAGAAAAGCAAAAGGCAATGTAATCCCAATGCATTTGTTCTGGAAATTTCCATAGGGCTAAGTGTAATGGAATCTCAAGTGCCCTCGATAATCATGCTTCCTTCTCTCTTTGCCCCCATAAATTCACTCTCTACTTCAATCATACAGAAAATAGCCCTTACATATCTCATTCTCCATTCCTTCCTGTTTGGGAGATTGCAAAAAGTTGTATAGGACACAGCTTTTCAAAGTTAGAATTTGACTTAAATAAAGCAGAGGCATCATTTAACCCCCTTCCCCAGGTGTTGTTTGCAGCAGTTGTTAATTTTGCAAATTTATCTATGGAAAGATAACGGATTCCAGAAAGTTCCACCACAATTATAATCACAGCTCTGGCCTTCAGTCCTCCCCCAACCTGTCCCAGACCACTTTGAACACATAGGGAGAATCTTCTTACCTCAACATTATAGAATTTGGAACCCACTGTAACTTTTCATATTATTTTGACTTGTTGCCATAAAGTACTTTTTAAGATTTCTCTTAAGAGAAGTTGTGTTGACAACAACAACAAAAAATCCTTTTGAAAAAGGGCCACTTTTCCATTACACTAGTTCTAAATATCAAGAGTAAATCCAAGGAAGTTTTTATCCATTTTTGGGATGAGTCCACATGGATATTCCAGACGGTCTCTGGGAGTTTTGGTTAGACGGAAGTAGCAGCGAGTCTGAGTGGGACCAGGGAGGACGTATTCGTGTGTAGAGATAGAAACCCTTAGAATCAGGAGATCAGTTCTGAGTTTTTTTCTTCACAGTCCTCTTTTCCTTCCCTTCAAAGAAAAAGTTTGAGAAACAGAGTGCTTATGCTGGTGTGGTTAAAAAAAATACTAAGATCAGGATGTGCTGACGTGAAGAGATGTTAGAGTGATAAGTTGTTTAGTAAAGAGAAAAAAGTACAAAGCAGTATATGAGAATAGACTCCCACTTTTGTAAACAAAAATACACACGTGTGCATAGAAAAATTCTGTTAAAGTTTAGTTAATAATTTTTAAACTGAAAAGATTATAATGGACTACAAATTTAATGTTTACCTCTGGGAAATGACATGGGGAGGTGGTAAGGGAAGCTTTTATTTTCTGCCTTATGAGATTGCTTTAGGATTTGATATTTTTGTTACAATGTACATGAATTATTCTTATAATGCGTAAAAGATCACTTTTTAAAAAAGATTTATTTATTTATTTATTTGACAGAGAGAGCCATCACAAATAGGAAGAGAGGCAGGCAGAGAGAGAGAGGGGGAAGCAGGCTCCCCGGTGAGCAGAGAGCCCAATGTGGGGCTGGATCCCAGGACCCTGAGATCATGACCTGAGCTGAAGGCAGAGACTTTAACCCACTGAGCCACGCAGGCTCCCCAAAGATCACTTTTAAAAAGAAGAAAACTGGATCGGGGTGCCTGGGTGGCTTGGTTCTTTAAGTGTCTGCCTTCGGCTCAAGTCATGATCCTAGGGTCCTGGGATCTGATGTGGGGCTCCCTGCTTCCATTCCCTCTGCCGCTCTCCTGCTTTTGCACTCTCTCTGTCAAATAAATAAATAAAATCTTAAAAAAAAAAAAGAAAAAAACGATTTAAACGAAACAACAAAAAAAAGAAAAACTTCCAAGTATAGTCATATTTATTAGGGAGAAAAGAAAGTACAGAACATATAAGAAAATAAGAAAGAAGGATGATAAGGGGAAGGGAATGGGATCCAGAAATAGCGATGTTTATTGAAGACTTACTTTGGGCCCGACCCTATTCTGAGCACTTTTATGTGTATTTATTTATTTAATCTTCGGAATGATCCTGTGAAGTAGGTGCTGTTGGTAGTTCCATCTTACAGATGAAGAAACTGAGGCGTGGGTGGTACTCACGATTACACAGTTAGTAAGCGTTTGTGCTGAGATTTGAACTCAAAGAATCGTTGAGACCATGAGAACCATTGAACCCACTGGCTCCAGAGTCTGCTCTCAATGACTGCGGTAGCTTCCAGAAAGACACAGATCATATCACTGGAGGGTACTTTGGAGGGTCCAGTTTCAGAGGAGGCTGTGAATCAGAGCCCATGACTATCATCTTGACTTTCTGTCTTCTGGTCAATTTAGTCATGACAATCCATCTCTTTCCCAGAAGTAAGGAGAGTGCCAAGAGAGTGACTTCTTTCCATCAGAGAGATAGACTATCATTAAACCACTGGTAGTAAATCACAGAGTAAAATGTTTAGCAAATAAGAACTTTGAAAATTAGAAGAAAGTGTTAGGGTCTTAAAGAAATTCCTCGTTATGTTCTTTATTGGGATCGGGTGTTGTAGAGTTCCATCTCGATGAGGGCTCTAACCTCAGCTAGGTCTTCACTGTTAAGTATCCTCTCCTGTTCTCTCTTCAGACTTTTACCATTCTTCTCAAGGCCCCTTTTCCAGTATTATCCATTGCCTTATCAACAAACCCCTAGCTGTCCACTTCATTAAGAAAACTGAAGCTGCCTGTCATGAATTTCCTCAGTCTTGTCCTCTGGCTGCCAAGCTGTCATCCTCGTCTCACTCCCTCCAGTGGTAGCAAGGCTGAGTCTATGCTCCTGTTCCCTCCTCTCCTCTCCTGCTGGGACCACCAACCATCCACTCTTCCTTTCTTTCCTGTATCTCATCCATTTCTTCTTACTTTCTCCCTTAACCCTGTAAACATCCTTAAGAAAAGCCAAAAAACAAAGCCCTCCCTTGGTCCTTTCTTCTTTTAGATATTGGTCTTCAAAATCACAATTTTAGAAGACTGTGTCCACATCCATTGTGTCCATTTGGTCATTTTCCACTTACTTTTCAAATGCCTGCAGTCTGGCTCTGCCTCCGTTGCCTCCATTGCCCAACATCTTACCAGTGACCCCATATTGACCTATAGGGTGATGCTTTTTGTTCTTATATTTTTCAAGTCCTCTGTCACCCCTTGAAACTCCCTGCTTTCCAGACATTTTGACACTGCCTTTTCTCATTCTCGAACTCAGATCATTCCTTAAAGTTCTTCCCAGTGGGTCTTACTTCTACTCTTCCCTTAAACATCAGTATTCTGCAGGGATCTGTCCCCGATCACTCGTCTCCTCACCCTAGACTTTTCTCTTTGCAGAATTCTTCTGCCTGATAGTCCCAGGCACTTGCAATCCTACGGGCCCTGAATCAGTGATGGTATGGAACTCTTCATCTTAACCACTGCTTTTGCTCCAAACCTACTCTTCCTGTTGTCTATTTCAGATTATAGTGTCATCATCCTGCCGTTACAGGGGCTGGAAACAGGAGTCACAAGAGATGATCTCATTATCCTTAATGGATAACTTCTTTCCTCCTCCCCTTCCCCTCCGTCTCTTCTCCCTCCCCTCCCTTCCCCTATCCTTCCCCTCCCTCTTTCCCTTCCCCTGCCTCCTCTTTCTCCTCCTTCTCCTTCTTCTCTTCAGTTATTACAAAACTTTCTTTTATTGAAGTGTATTTACCACACAATAGTATATTCAGGTATATAACATAGTGATTCAACATTTATATACATTACAAAGTGATCACCACAATAAATCTAGCTACCATCTGTCACCATACAAAGTTATCACATATTATTAACTATATTCCCTATGCTATACATTGTATCCCCTACAAAAAAATTATCTTTCAATCCCCTTTCCCTATTTTGCCCATCCTACCACCCCCAACCTCTCACTTTAGCAACCACTAGATTGTTCTATTCCTATGAGTATGTTTCTGTTTTGTTTTCTTGCTTTTTTTTTTTTTAGATGTCACATAGAAGTGAATTCATACAGTATTTGTCTTTTTCTCTCTGATGTTTTCACTTAGTCTAATATCTTCTAGGTCCATCCATGTTGTTGTAAGTGACAAGATTTTATTCTTTCTTATGGCTGAAGGCTATTTCATTATTCCAGCCATACATTCTTTATCTGTTCATCTCTCTGTCATCTCTGCTGACACTGGGGTTGCTTCTGTATTTTTTCTGTTTAAATAATGCTGCAGTGAACATAAGGGTGCATATGTCTTTTCAAATTAGTGCTTTTTATTTCTTTGGAGAAATACCCATAAGTGGAATTGCTGGATGGTATGGCAGCTTTATTTTATTTTATTTTTAAAATATTTTATTTATTTATTTGACAGAGATCACAAGTAGGCAGAGAGACAGGCAGAGAGTGAGGAGAAAGCAGGCTCCCTGCTGAGCAGAGAGCCCAATGCGATGTGGGGCTCCATCCCAGGACCCCAGGATCATGACCTGAGCCGAAGGCAGAGGCTTTAACCCACTGAGCCACCCAGGTGCCTGGCAGTTTTATTTTTAGTTTTTTGGAGGCACCTCCATACTGTTTTCCATGGTGGCCACACTGTTTTTCATTCCCACCAACAGTGCGTGAGGATTCTCTTTGCTTTGCATCTCTTTACTTCGCCAACACTTGTTGTTTCTTGTCTGATTGGTACTAGCCATTCCGAAAGGTGCGAGGTGATACCTCATTGTATATTTGATTTGCATCTCCCTGATGATGAGTGATGCTGAGTAGCTTTTCATGTATCTGATGACCATCTGTATGTCTTTTGGGGGAAATATCTACTTGGGTCCTCTGTCCATCTTTTACATTGGATTGTTTGGTCTTTTTTTTTTTTTTTTTTTTGATACTGAGTTGTTTGAATTCTTTATATATTTTGGATATTACTTCTTTTCAGTCATAATATTTGCAAATACCTTCTGCCATTCAAGCAGGTTGCCATTTTGTTTTGTTGATGGTTTCCTTCACTGTGCAAAAGCTTTTTAGTTTGATGTAGTCCCATTTGTCTATTTTTGCTTTTGTTGACTTTGCCTAAGGAGACAGATGAAAAAAATATTGCTTTGACTGATGCCCAAGAGCTTATTACCTATGGTTTCTTCTGGGCGTTTGATCTTTTCTGGTCTTGCACTTAAGTCTTTAATCCATTTTGAGTGTGTGTGTGTGTGTGTGTGTGTGTGTGTGTGTGTGTATAGTATAAAAAACTGGTCTGCTTTCATTCTTTTGCGTATAATTGTCCAGTTTTCCCAGCACTAATTATTAAGGAGACTTTCGATGGGTATCTTTTCACCGTTGTATGTATTTGTCTTCTTTGTCAAAGAGTAACTGACCATATAAGCTTGGGTTTATTTCTGGACTTCCTGTTCTGTTCCATTGATCTGTGTGTCTGTTTTTGTGCCGGTAACATCCTGTTTCAATTCTTATAGCTTTGTAGTATAGTTTGAAATCAGGGAGTGTGATACTTTCAGCTTTGCTTTTCTCTCTCAAGACTGCTTTGGGTATTCAGGGCCTTTTGTGAGCCCATACAAATTTTAGTACTATTTGTTCTAGAACTTTCGCTTAATTATCAAGTGCAATGAATTTCATATCCAAAGTATGTCTCATATAGGTTACTGCCTCTCTTTGTCTCCCAGCACTGCTCTAATCGTTGCTCACTTGGACAACCGTAATGGCCTCTTAACTGGTCTTGCCTTCAATGTTGACTTCATCTCAATCCATCCTCTATGCTGACATCAGAATGAGCTACCAAAAATGTAAATCTGACCATGTTTCTCCCTTATTTGGGAACTCTCCATGTCTCCTTCTCACTTGCTGGATGATGTAATGTTCCCTAACATGGCTTACAAGACCCATCATAACCAGAATATTACCGACCTCTCAAGTGTAATTTCTTGCCTCTTCTATCTCTCACCTTTTGCTCAAGTAGCACATCCTGCTTCATCTCTATGTATCATCTCATGCTGTTACCTTTGCCTGGAATGTTCCTCACAGATTCTCTTCATGGGTTAACTCCATTTGTCATATTCATCTCAGGGATCATTTCCTTCCAGAAGATTTCTTTGAATCCAAAAATGTGTCAGGTGCTGTGTCCTGGAGTGTCTTGTGTTTCCTCAGCCCAGGACCTTCTTCTTTTATGTTAGAATTGCCTTTCTCTGCCTGTCTTCCCTCACTGAGATGGAGCCCCTGAGTACCGAGTCTTAACCTTATTCATCTCCCGTCTTCCAGAATCTTTGAGATCTACCTAGAAGACTGTCTTGCACACAGTAGGCACTTAATGATCCTTCTTTTCTTTCTCTTCTTATACTGGCCACGTTTGTTTCTGTCTTCCAGCCTTTGCCCATGCTGTTCCATCTGCCTGGAAAGCTCTTCTTCCTGATCTTTGTAAGACTACTCCTTGACAATGATCATCAGCATAGCTGTCATCTCGTCAGAAAGGCCTTCCCTGAGCACCCACTCGATAGAAGCTGTATTGTATCTACTCTGCTTACCCCTATCATTGTCTGCTTTTTCTTATGTGTGTGTGCACTTGTTTATATTTTCTTCTCCTACTAAAATGTAAGCTCCACAGGAACAGGGACCATCACTGGCTTATTCACTGCCTCACTGCTCTGTCCCACTGTTTAGATGGTGCTTGGCACAAAGCAGGCTCCAAATAAACATTAGTCGAAGAAATAAATAATAAATGTTTGTTGAACTAAATTGATATTGATGAAACAGAATACTACAGGTTGACCCAATCAAAAGAAGTCTCATTTACTCTACCATGCTCTTAAAAAAAAAAAAAGGAAAAACAAAACAAAAAACAACCCAACTACTCTCAAAAAGTGGGGTCAGGAAATGGGTACACTTAAACACTGTTGGTGGTTGAATGAATCAGTACAAGTTTTCTATATGTGCTTTGATCAAGAAGTCACATTTTAAGGAATTTATTCTAAGGCGATAATTTGAGAGGAACCTAAAAATTTATGTTCAAAAACATACAGCATTGGGGGCCTGGGTGGCTCAGTGGGTTAAGCCTCTGCCTTAACCCAGGTCATGATCTCAGGGTCCTGGGATCAAGTCCCACATCGGGCTCTCTGCTCAGCAGGGAGCCTGCTTCCCACCACCCCCAACCCTAGGCCTGCCTCTCTGCCTACTTGTGATCTCTTTCAAATAAATAAATAAAATCTTAAAAAAAAAACAAAACCATACAGCATATTTTATAATAGTGGCGTCTTAGAAATAACTGAACTCTAATTTATAGTCACTAACATATATCAATGGCATATTGAGTGTAAAAAAGTTTCTAGGAAAACATGTACTTTTCTGTGAAACATATCGGGTGTATATATGTTTTCAAACACATATATAGAGATTACCTATATACCTATATTGCTATATTACCTATATTACTCTATATACCTATAGAGAACACCTTTGCCAAGGTGTTCACATGAATGATAACAATGCATGTCTAGCTGCTAAGATTTTGTGAGATCTTTACTTCATGTTTAAATTTTCTTGGCTTTTAAAATGTGTGTCCAATGAGCAAATATTATTTTATGAAAAATGGGGAAAATAAGTGAATAGACTAATGGAGAACACTTTCCCACCTAACTTACTTGGAGACCAACATCATCATCTAGTACACTGGTTTTTTTTTTTTTTTATGTTAGTAAGTGGCTTGAAATGCCGATTTCTGTCTCTCCCCAGGTCTCATGACCCGTCTCCGCTATCCAGTCGGACTGATGGGCAGCTGTTTGCCAACCACAGCTGGTTTTAGCTATGGTAAAGTATGCGCATGTACCCAAGGGCGACATCAAGTCCAGCAAAGAATCGACCCCAAGTTCCCTCTATGTTCTTAAATTCTTAGCTTTTCTGAGATGTCCAGATAGGTTTCCTCTCAAAGTTTAAATCCCCCTTCTGAGATACTTAAAATACATGCATCTCACGAGAGCAATTTAAACTTTGGAAGGAAATGTTTCGGTTTTGCTTCAAATTTCATTATACAGTAGCAGGAGCGCTTTTGACAGATTACAATCCTTTTTATTTGGCGGTTTGAGCTGTTGCTGACTGGATACAAGGATGACCGGGAAGTGACTGCTGTCCAAGAGAGAACAGCTACAAAGAGCCACCCAGAGGGTCCCCTTCACCTTTTAAAAATACAACCTGTAGAGGGCGCCTGGGTGGCTCAGTGGGTTAAGCCTCTGCCTTCGGCTCAGGTCATGGTCTCGGGGTTGTGGGATCTAGTCCCACATCCGGCTCTCTGCTAGGCAGGGAGCCCGCTCCCCCCCCCCCCCCCCCCCCCCCCCCCCCCCCCCCTCTCTGCCTACTTGTGATCTCTCTCTATGTATCAAATGAAGAAATAAAAATCTTAAAAAAAAAAAATACAACCTGTAGAAAGTTTAATTTGAACTATTTTTAGCAGATGTATATTTGCAACTCTGTAAGAATAAAGAAGAGCCAAAGAATTCTGTTCTGTAATTTGGTGACACTTTATTCCCTTAAGTTTCTCTCACTTGTGAGAAACAGAAAATACCTAGATAAATGATGATATCATTATATAGTGTAACAGATAAGCAGGACTCAGGCTCTCTATTTTAATTGGGATGGGAGAATGATTCAGGGTATTATGGGTCCTGGGTTATTCCTCTGCCCTTAATACTATATATATAATAAAAGTTCTGTCATTAACCATTTATTTAGGCAGAGCATGGTCCTGTTTAATTTTTAAAAAATAAACTTCTCAATTTTTTAACACTTAGAACAGTGCACAACTCATAACTCTATAGCTTAATTAGTTTTGCCTGGTTTTGACTATTTAATATGAGTGGAATGAGACACCGTGCATTTGTGTCTGGCTTCTTCCTCTTCCCCGGTGGTGTTGGGTGTGGCTAGCTCATCTCCGCTGGGGTGTTGTGTGACGTTCACGATTATACCAGAGCTGATTTACCAGTCCTTCCGTAGATGGCCATTTGGATTGAAACCAATTTTTATCTCATAAATAGCATCATTATGGACATTCTTGCATGTCTTTGGATGAGGTTCAGTATACGTTTCAGCTCCAACAATGTTGGCTGTACACTTAGGAGTAGAATTCTTGGGTCATAGAGTATGTGCGCACTCAGATTTTGTTCGTTTTCCAAAATGCTTATACCAAATTACACTTCAATCAATAGCATATGGGCTTTCCAGCTGTTCCACACTTTTACCCTTGCCAATATTTAGTATTCTTGTGGATTCTCATCTTTAGTTTTCACGTTAGCCAATCTGGTGTATGTACTAGTGTTATCTCGTTATGGTCTAAATTTGCATTTCCCCGATTACTAATTATTTTGATCAACTTTTAATAGGCTTAGTGGCCATTTGGGTATCCTCTTTTGTGAAAGATACTCCATTCAAGTTTTCTAACCTTTAAAAATATAGTTATCTGCCTTTTTCTAATTGATTTTTTTCATATTCTGAATAGGAATTCTTTACAGGTGACCATGTTTTAGAAATATCTTCTCTCAATCTGTGGCTTACATTTTCCCTCTCTTAATGGGGTATATTTGATGAACAGGATTTTTATGAAGTGCAATTTGTCAATATTTTCCTTCATAGTTATATTCTGTTGAATAAGTTTATGTCAGTATTAAAGTCATAAATATATTCACCCATTTTACTTTTAAAACATACCCTACTGGGGGGAGGGGTTGGGGGGGTGGGATTATGGACATGGGGGAGGGTATGTGCTCTGGTGAGTGCTGTGAAGTGTGTAAACCTGGCGATTCACAGACCTGTACCCCTGGGGATAAAAATATATGTTTATAAAAAATAAAATTAAAAAAAAAAATACCCTACTATTGGGAGGTAGGCCTTTACAATTTTTTTAAAGGCATTATTCGAAAGTTCCACCAGATGGCAGTGTTACTATGTAAAAAGAGACACTAAAAAGGAAATTTGCTCTTTCAACTGTTTTCAAGAGGGTTATTTTAAAAAGTTCTTTTTGCCTCATTTGGCTTCTATGGAAGTGAAATATATCATAACACTAATTTCACTTCAAACATATACTTAGATACATGTGAGTTAGAATTGTAGCATTGGATATATTTATTAGGTGAATTTGTTAGGCTTTTCCCTAGGAGAAGACGTGAAGACAGGAAAGCCCTTTAGGGGTGGGAGTGGACAAAGGAGCAACAGAAGAAGTGGTATAGGGGGAAGGTGGGGGAAAACAAATGTCCTGTGCCTCACAAGTTTACTCAGCAGGACAAAAACAAATGGGGACATACATATTCTCGGGGCCTGATCTAATTTTGGTAGGTTTGGTTCAGAAAGGCAAAGCTTTGCCTTTCATCGTTTCCAAGCAAGTCAAGTTCGTATCTTTTTTTTTTTTTTTAAAGATTTTATTTATTTATTTGAAAGAGAGAGATCACAAGTAGGCAGAGAGGCAGGCAGAGAGAGAGGGGGAAGCAGGCGCCCTGCCGAGCAGAGATCCCTATGTGGGGCTCCATCCCAGGACTCCGGGATCATGACCTGAGCTGAAGGCAGAGGCTCAACCCCCAGGTGCCCCTCAAGTTCGTATCTTTAAACTTGAATTCTGGAATTACACATGGAAACAACCATGACAGCATTAAAAATGGTTGCCCTTCTGCTCCCCTCATTCATAAAAATTTTAACTTCTTTGTAAAGGAACAGAGTAGGTCTAGATAATTCCTGAATCTCTTCTAGCTCTAAAATTTTTCCCTACTCGTAACACGGATGTTTTCTTTTTCTAGAAAAATGGGAGATCGATCCTGCTGAGCTGGCTTTTGTAAAGGAGATTGGAAGCGGTCAGTTCGGGGTGGTCCATTTAGGTGAATGGCGAGCGCACATCCGGGTGGCTATCAAGGCCATCAGTGAAGGCTCCATGTCGGAAGAGGACTTCATCGAGGAGGCTAAAGTGATGATGTGAGTATGAGCCATGCCAGATAAGCAGCATGCGGCATTCTGGTGTCATGGAAAGAACATGGGTTTTGGAGCAATCACACTTCGATTTATGTCACAACTCTACTCGAGCTAGTGTGGCGTCCCTTAACTGAAAAATGCACTTTATAAAGGAGAAAGATAAATCAGACAAAATATACATATACAAGATATCTATCTACAGGTTAAAATCATGTGGAGATTCTCTGAACGCCTCTTTTCCACTACCTGGTAGTGGTCTTGCATGCTAATCATATGGTAATATGTCAACTCATCACTCATATACATTATTTTAGGGTAAATAATCTCCCTGAGTCATTGACTTTATTTTGCCTCTATGAATGAAAATAGGTAACATTTCAAGTTGCTTTTGACTAACAGAGAAGTTGGTTTATTATGTATCTTCTAAAATTACAAACATTAACTTGAATATTGTTTTCCATGATGCCTACTTGGCTTAACAAAGCCTTTAGGGACTGAATGCTCTACTCCAGAAGAAACAATAAACTTCTGAAGTTTAGATCACTAAAAAGTTCTGTCTGTATTTTAATAAGCAACATTCAAGGACACGTGTGTATGTGCGTGTGTTTGTATGTGTGTGTATGCGTTTGCTAAATACAGAGCACGGTTTCAAGTTGGCAAGTGTTTTTGGTCTCCAACTTTATCTAAAATTTCGTTTTCAATGTCTTTACTTTTTAAAAAAATTTTTAAGGATTTTATTTATTTATTCATGAGAGAGAGAGGGGGAAGCAGAGGTAGAGGGAGAATCAGGATCCCCAATGCAGGGCTCAATCCCAGACCCCAGGATCATGACCTGAGCCAAGCCAGACCCTTCACCGGCTGAGCCACCCAGGAGCCCTAATTTTTTAGAATTTAATTTTCTTTCTTTCTTTTTTTAATGCACTAATCACGGTTTCCTCCCTTCAATCTGTCTCGAATTTTCATCTGAGCAGCTGCGGGCAGGAAAGGTAAAACTCAAGGAACAGGAGCTCTGTTAAGACCCAGGCAAGGAGAAGTGGCCATGAGGAAGCCAAAGGCTTGCTTGCAGGAAGAAAAGCAGAAAAAAACAGAATATGGAGCACGTAATATTCTGTACCTGCAGGGACTTGGGGAGTGCTGCTTGAACTCTTGACCCCACTTATGCAGCACGTACAGTGGAAAGGAAACTGTTCTACTTTCTCTGTGGTTGGGTTCATTTTTCTCCTATCTTGATGTTGAAGATTACATACGTAGAGCTGGTAAATATCACCAGTTGAGTCTCCGCGCTTTAAAGGGCAAAAATGAGTCTGCTCACTGGTGCGTGCTTTTTCTTCAACAGGAAATTATCTCATCCCAGGCTGGTCCAGCTCTATGGAGTGTGCATACAGCAGAAGCCGCTGTACATAGTGACCGAGTTTATGGAGAACGGCTGCCTGCTGAAATACGTCAGGGACAGAAGGGGAGCACTTACCAAGGAGATGCTGCTGAGTATGTGCCAGGATGTCTGCGAAGGGATGGAGTATCTGGAGAGGAACTGCTTCCTCCACAGGGACTTAGTAAGTCGGACATAAATCGGCCGATTATTCTCTGCATGACATTGAGAAGAATATGACTATTGAGGACTTTCACTATTTGTTTTAAAGACTTTATTTCCATTTGTCAGGGAGAGAGAGAGAGAGAGCATGCACAAGCAGAGGAGGAGAGGCAGAGGGAGAGGGAGAGGGAGAAGCAGGCTCCCCGCTGAGCAGGGAGCCCAATGTGGGGCTCGATCCTAGGACCCTGGGATCATGACCTGAACCAAAGGCAGACGCTTAACCAATGGAGCCACGTAGGCATCCCAACGACTTTCACTCTTTTGAATAAAATACTTTTGGCTTAGTTTCTAAATGCTTTCCTATTCATGTAATTCTCTGGGAAATGGAGCTTTATTTTTAATGGCCCCTTGATGCTGTGGCCGAGGGAGGCGCTGTTCTAAATATGCTTTCAAATATAATTAACTACTGCGCTTATTAACTAGCCAAAACTAATTTACTTTTCTTTCCTCTCACCTTCCCTCTCTTTTTCCATTACTTCCAGTTTTCTTCCTTTCAACCAATAATCAAATACGTGTTGAGGGCCCGTATTGGCCAAGTGCTCTGCGGGGCATATGGCAGTGCAGATCAGGCTCTAGGGGCTGCCCCACTGCCCCCCCCCCCCAGGGGTGGTTTGCTTGTAACAGTATCACAGCAGCATTGCTGACATCACTGAGGAGGACTAGAAATGTGAAATCCTTCTGTGCTGGAATGCTCTGAACATTACAGCCTAATAAAAAAATATTAAAGGTTGTTTTGCCCCCAGTGCCCCGTTGAGTTCAAGGGGCAGCCGACATTCAGAACCGCTGCTCCGGAGGTGGACAGCCTGGGTTGAAATTTGGCCTTTGTTTCTTACTAGCGGTGTGATGTTGGGCAAGCTAGTCAGCTAGGACCCGGTATGAATTGTACCTTCCTCCTGTGGGCTTGTTGGGAGGATTACATGAACTACTACATGTGAGCACTTACAGTCGCTCCTGGCATTATAGAGGAACTCAGCAATGCTATTCCATAGCGATAGCCTTTCCATACCCATTGGGACCACCACTCTGTATCCCTCAAAGCACGTTTCCCAGGCTCCAGCACGTAGTAGCTATTACACAAATTTTTGAAGGGATGAATACGGCATTAATTCCCCTGAGCTTAGTTTTCTAGTCTCTGCGGCTCGGTCTTTCTTGACCTGATTGGATTAGAGAGTAGAGATTAGAATTCAAAACTTCGTTGGGTGATGGTCCTGGTCATTCTCTTTGCTCCAAGTGGCTTTTCTCAGATTCCCCCCATCCTGGGTTTCTTCCTCCGTTGCCTTCTTTTGCGTTCTATTTTATCCAACTTTATGCTGTTTAAAATCTGCCAGCGAAGCCTGAGTCTTTTCCCCATCAAGGGCTTAGCTTGTGGCTTGGCTTGGAGATTGTTGCTAGTATTTGTCAAAATCTTCCAAACTGCCTCCTTCTGGCTTACCATTTTAAGTTTTAAGTGTTTTTGTTTTTAGACTAACTGAAGTTCATATCAGCTTAGAAGAGAAAAAAATCTATCAAACTGTTGAATTACATGACGCTCAATAACCAATTCAATGATTTTCTTTGATGAAACTCTCTGAAAATGGATTATTTTGGCCTCACATACGTGGTCTCTGCATTATTTAAAAACACATGCTCTTTTCAATGCTGGGGTTCATCGTTTAATGTCTCTTGATATAGTCTTCCTATTTATCAAAGATACTTGTTGAGAGGGATTAAAAACGTTTAAAGGAAAAATATTAAAATTGCTTTTTACTTTTTGTTATTTCTTTGAAGAATCCTTAAAATCCATTGTGAGGGCAGATATACTGAGTCATATGTAGTATCGCAGGTATTACCTGGAAAACATGGCTGCTCATAGAGAAGTCACGTGGGGCCCCAAATACAGTAAGGAAAAGGCAAGTAGAAACTCTTTAAAGAAAGACGATATTCAAATGTGGATTCTTTTCTTCTTTCCATAGGCAGCAAGAAATTGTCTGGTCAGTGCTGCAAGTATAGTAAAAATATCAGACTTTGGAATGACGAGGTACAATATATACAATTTTTTTTTTTTTACTCATAAGAGGGAATCTTACATCTGTCTACTAACAAACCAAAGATGTCAAGAGCATTGCTTTTTTTTCCTGGGGAAAATCTTGATATGGTTGCTTGGCCTGTTGCCCTGCTTTGAATTTTAGGACATAACCCAATGTTAGCTGTGAGGTAAATGGGTGCTTTGAACTATTCTTTGGATCTTCTTTTCAGTTACGCAGGCATAAATTAAAAATTTTCAAAATGTCTCAAACTACTCGTCAGATGCATGAGGTTGAGGAAAAAAGTTTCTGTGATATATGTGTATTTTTGAAAGATAAAAGGATACATTTGTTTAGCTCTGACTTTTCCATGCCATTGTCATGCATGTCTATGATCAAGTGTAGTGGTTGACTCTAAGACTACGACTCAAGTGCGGAAAATCTAACCTCATTTTCTGAAACACAATGCCATTGACATTTTGAGCGCCCCTTCCCTCAGGTTGCCAAAAGTTCAATGCCTATGAATTCAGGATATCTCTCTGACTCACTTCAGGGTCAAATTCAAATTCTGTATGTCTTCTTCTCTGAATGACTTCTTCTCTGTATGACCTCATGGGGTTATGTAGTGGAGAGGGCATGTCTGGTCCTTGTTGTTAGCCACTGACAACTGGTACCCTTGCAGCAAACATCCTCCCGTTTTGTCCTTGGCTGGACATCTGTGTAGGTGGCTGCTGACTCATCCCCAATCTCTACTGCAAGATGTTGTAATTCTGGCATTCTCCATGATTAGAAACCCCCTGGAGCTTTCCAAGGTCCTATTTGCTTAGACACATCCACAGCTATTGGCCTTCGGGAATCTTTTTGCTTTTCTTGGGGCTTGACCTGGGGAAGAGGCACAGGCTCTGTTTTGCTCTTGAATCCCAGCAACCTATTGTGGGGACTTCTTTTCCTGCCATGTAAGGGGGGCAGTGCTTGTAGGGTGCAGGGGACAGGACCCTGCCTCAGTTACCCACTACTGTCTAATACTCCTCCTCTTGCCCCTTGTTCTCTCCCACCTCCCAGCTCCCTCTGGAGGGAGTCTTCAATGCTAGAGGGGATGGATGGTGGGGGGAGGATATCACTCTTACTTATGAGTCTTTCTCCCCAATATTTTATTAACAGCTCAGTCCTCCTCCTGCTGTGGAAAGCTGAGACTTTTGAAACTCAAAAGCTATGAAAAATGGCTCTTTCTCTTTTGTTTTCTATTAGTCACTCTTTCCCTTAGTAGGATGACTTCTGGTGCAATAAAGCAGTTAAAGGTGGGGTGTGGTAGGGTGCGTGGGGGAAAAAAAAAAGAGAGAGTGTGAGGAAGCGCTAATTAATTCAAAGCTACCGTACTGCACACTCCAGGGGCTACAAGTTAGTCATCATTCTTCTCTCCAGATTCTTCTCCCCAGATTCCCTTACTTGGATGTTTCTGCCTACAAGTCTCACAAGAGAGAGGGTTTAATATTTTTGTAGTTTTTAGAAGGGGGTCATAGTTATTACTGATTTCATATAGGGCCATTTTAATGCATTGGACATTTTTCACATCAAATGTATTATGTTCAGTATGCTTATTTCCCCTTTTCTCTGACTCACAAAACACATATGCATGAAGAAAAAAGTTAGACATCCCACTTTGAACGTGTTATTTGCCATATATACATATTCTTTTAATTTCCTTTTTATAACCCTGGTTGTTAGAGCACTCAGCATGTTCCTTTGCAGAATTAAGAATTTGTCATAACCAAAATTATCAGTGGGTTCCTGATTTCAATCCGTTTTGGATTGAAGAATTGTTCTGGTTTTCTGAGACCCAAATAAACCCAACTGAGGCTTGGTTTGGGGAGGAATCACTGTATAGGATACTTTCCCATTTTGGTAACAAGAAGAGAAACTTTTAGAGGTAAAAATATTTCTCTTTTAAAGATTATTTATTTATTTGAGGGAGAGAGAGAGAGATTGAGTTGGTAGAGGGAGGGGCAGGAGGAGAGGGAGATAGAATCCTCAAGCAGGCTCCCTGCTGAGCAGGGAGCCCAACAGGGGGCTCAATCCCAGGACCCTGAGATCACGACCTGAACCAAAATCAAGAATCGACTGCTTAACCTGTTAAACCACCCAGGCACCCCTGGTTTCTTTTTTAGAATTTAAAGTAGACTAATGGGGTTTGAATTAAGTAGAACTTGGAGATAATTAGCACAATGTGCTTTGAATCTAATGACCTTAGGTACGTTTTGGATGATGAATATATCAGTTCTTCTGGAGCCAAGTTCCCCATCAAGTGGTCCCCTCCTGAAGTTTTCCATTTCAACAAGTACAGCAGCAAATCTGATGTCTGGTCATTTGGTGAGTAAATTTGATATTTATTTGATGGAGATTGATTTAATAAAATGCCAATCTTTTTTAAGCTTTCATTTCTTTGCATGATGTGGCATTCTAGAAAGGTCTTCTTATAACTATGCTTCTGTCTTAAGTGTTCTAAGCACAACCAGGCTGTCTTTGCAACTGATACCATTCACCTTCTTGTATAAGCCTACCATGAGGATCTTATCCTTTCCCAATGAGCATTTGCAGGAAAACCGTAACAGAGAGTCCACTGATCTAGAAAACAAATGCAGCCATCTTTTTTAACACCACAGAGACTTGCCAGGAAAATAGATCTAAGGTGTCACTGAATTTCTAGTGTAATTAATCAACTTCATTTCTAACGGCTAAGCAACACCACCGCATTTACCTCATTACCTTCTGATTTTGTGGAATTTAGATGTTGGCCTCCTTGGGAACTGTCAATTGGAGTTTATATTGTGTAACGTTCTTCATCGAGAAAGAGATGTCGTAGAACCCTGTCAAGTGGAGTCTGCTCTTTGAGTTGATTTTCAAAAAGTGGCAGTCAGTTTGCAATAAGCTATCTATTCTATTTTGCCCAGACCTCGCAGGATAGCTTCTTGGGTTCGGAGAGACCTCTGCACCTTCAGAAGTGTGTGAATTTTATTATCCACATAAGGTTAAACTTGTATCATTGATCTCATTAGCTCTCCACTGACTTTTGGTAGTTTCAGCAGGTGACATTTTACGTTCTACGGGAGAGCAGTCAAGTTGTGAGATGAACAATCAGCAGCATGGTGCTGGTTCATGTGGTTACAGAGCAATTAGAATTTCTGAGTTTTACCTGACCACTTGTCTCTATCACCCACGGGACAGTGAGCTGCTTGAGCCCATGGACTGGTTTCTGGAGTCTTCTGGCTCTAGCATCTGCCTGGTCTTTAATCAATACATGATACATTTTCTTAGAATAAGTGAATAATTAAATGAAGTTCAAATGGGAACCTTGAGGGAGTTTCACTAATCAACCAGTCAACGATTATAGAACATAAGCCCCTGCTAGATATTCTGTTCTACCCAGCAGTCTCATCTCTCAGTGGGAAGAGGGAAACACGTGCCTTCTATTGGCTGGCCACACAATTCTGTCATTTTTCTATGGAATGGCAGAGAGGCCTGTTGATTTCAGGCTGTGAAGACAGGAACATACTTAGGAATGACAATGCTAGCAGCATTTTCTTTCACTTGGGAAGCGGTCAAGACCAATGGAAAAGAAAGGCATTGTTTCCACTTGGAATATTTTCAGGTTGTAGGCCTGTTTGAAAATGAAGACACGCATGGTCCAATTCCTAGATAGAACTGCTCTCATTCTGGGTGATTATAATTCAAAGGCTGAAAGAGAAAAATAAGGCCTTGCAGTTTGAAACAGTTGTTTCAGTTTCAAGTAACCTCTTGTTTACATGCATTTCGTGTGTAGGAGTTTTGATGTGGGAAGTGTTCACAGAAGGAAAAATGCCGTTTGAGAATAAGTCAAATTTGCAAGTCGTGGAAGCCATTTCTCAAGGCTTCCGGCTGTACCGTCCTCAACTGGCCCCAATGTCCGTCTATGAAGTCATGTACAGCTGTTGGCACGAGGTGAGTGCTTCTTCTTCTCCAGAGAAGGTTGGCAGCCCCAGCATCTGAGATCAGACCTGAGTGGGACAAACATGACCCCAGGACTCCACCAGGGCAGGAAAAGGAATCTGTTTCTTGATCAGAATCCCCAAGAGCCAGAAGGGCTATTTCTTTCTTTCTTTTTTTTTTTTTTTTTAAGATTTTATTTATTTGACAGATAGAGATCACAATTTAGGCAGAGAGGCAGGCAGAGAGAGGGGTGGAAGCAGGCTCCCCGCTGAGCAGAAAGCCCGATGCGGGGCTTGATCCCAGGACCCTGGGATCATGACCTGAGCCGAAGGCAAAGGCTTTAACACACTGAGCCACCCAGGTGCCCCAAGAAGGGCTATTTCTATATGAAACTCCCACTATGGAGTCATCAACCCATTTTGTTTTTAACCATGGCCATTCATCTGAGGAATTCAGAGCCTTTTTCAAATCTTATCGGTTCCCCCCGAAACTCTTGATGTGACTAGAGCCTCAGCAGTGAGATGTTTCACTCCCTTTGACAACCGGTGGGTAGAAACTAAGGGTAGAGTCAGGTTTGGTAAATGTCTACATGGAAAGAGAAGGATGTTTGTATTTACTTCATTCTGCTATAAGTTGTCTTGCTTTTCCAAGGCTAATTCGAGTGGGTTTCATCTCTTTTTTGGCACTTCAGACTCCTAATAGATTAGGAATAAAGGCAGAAAGTGTGCCCTGAACTTGTAATTGGGAAATTCTCTTGGGGTGGGGGGTGGGGGTGTCAATCCAGCTTTTCTTTCTCTCGGAATGCCAACACTTAAAAATAAAGCCAGACATGTCCCGTCTTCTCTGGGCACAGACCCAACTCACGTCTCCCCTTCATATCAGACTCCCCTGTGACTGTTGACAGCTTTCTCCTTCCAGCTGACAGTGTCCGTGGAGAAAAAACCCACAGTGGGATGAGGCGTTTCCTCCCGGTTGAAAAAGAAATCACTTGATTCACAATCTACAAACACTGAAACACTCAGTATTTCAAGAGCCATGTAGTTGTTCACATTTTAGAGAAGTATTAATTTTATAAAGATCCTTGATGTCTGAAAATATTTTACATATAGTGAACTGCTCTGCAAGGAAATCTTAAAAGATAGGCAGATGTTAAGTGAGCTATTAGTAGCAAATGGCTATCTTAAGAGCTTCTTAGCAATAACAGCGTGGATAGCTTAGAAAGATATATTGCCTATGGAACAATAGACATGTACAGGTGCATAAAATATAATAGTTATTAAGATTTCATTTATCGCTGGAGAGGAAACAGAAAAGGGAGTAAATCGGAGGCTGTCAGGAGGCCCGAGTAAATGATGTCGGTCTCAAATCATGGTCAGAGCATGGATTAAAACAATGTTTTTGGTTATGCTGATTTATTTGTTTGCAAAAGGTAATTTGCCTACAACTTTTTTTTTTTTTTTTTTTAAGATTTTTTTATTTATTTGTCAGAGAGAGAGGGAGAGAGAGCGAGCACAGGCAGACAGAATGGCAGGCAGAGGCAGAGGGAGAAGCAGGCTCCCCGCCAAGCAAGGAGCCCGATGTGGGACTCGATCCCAGGACGCTGGGATCATGACCTGAGCCGAAGGCAGCTGCTTAACCAACTGAGCCACCCAGGTGTCCCTGCCTACAACTTTTTAAGGTAATCTAAATGCCCTAAGTGATTAGGCACCTTTAAATTTATTTATTGGTTATTTTTAAAAAGATTTTTATTTATTTGACTGAGAGAGACGCAGTGAGAGAGGGAACACAAGCAGGGGGAGTGGGAGAGGGAGAAGCACGCCTCCCGCTGAGCAGGGAAGCGGGGCTCCATCCCAGGACCCTGGGATCATGATCTGAGCCAAAGGCAGACACTTAATAACTGAGCCACCCGGATGCCCCAGGTACCTTTAAATTTAAATGTGATTAGATTATCTTTCACACACACACACACACACACACACACACACACACATACATGCTGACACACACATACTGTTTCATAGGCTCTACTACCTGCAGAATGTCAGCCTTCTCTAAAAACTCCAGAAATTATTCCTGAAACCTCAAGGAGAACTCGAATGTGTGTTTCCACACCCTTCAGCTTGGTCCTTTCCACTGGGCCCCTCTGTTTAGGAAGCACTAAGGGTGGTGTCTCCCCACAAACTCTGCTGCCAGTGGTCTTTGAGAGAATGTGGCTACCACAGGTGGTTCTGTTTCCCGTGGATTTTAAAGATGCCAACAGTGTCGTCTTTTCCTCCACATGGAGCCAAAGCCAAACCCACATCCCACGGTGAAATAGGAAAAATGTTCTAAACCTTGTGTCTGTGACTGGGGCTTTTGTTGACTGAGCCTTAAGATAGCACAGAGGGACCTGCAAAGTCCCTTATAAAAACATGCCTTTTGCTTTCTGACTGAAATCCTTCTTTCTCCAGGGGAGCAAGTCTAGTGAATAACTGGGCAAAGCCTGAGAGCCTGGAAGTCTGGGTGCCCATTCTCTCCCAGCTCTTCTGTACCCCATGCCTATCAAGGCATCCAAATAGATCTCTAGGGCAGTGCCGTCCAATGGAACTTAATGTGGCGATGCAACTGTGTTATGTCTGCGCTATCCAATATGGTGCTCATGCCTGGCTATTGAAGAACTGAAAAGTGGCCATTGTGACAGAGAACAGAACTTAAAAATGTATTTAATTTTAACAATTTAAACCGAAATGGCCTCAGGTATCTCGTGTTTGCAGCTAAAGTTGTTTTGGCAGCACTCTGTACTCTTAAAATTTCACTCATGCTTCCCTCAACTACCAGGCATGCCCGGTGTGTCAGCCCAGATAACTTTCTCTTCCATCTGTGGAGAATCGGCCTGGATCCAGTTCCCTGCCAGCGTGTTTCAGAGCTGGTATCTGAGCGACTTTCAGGCTGAGCTGACCGTCTCTGTTTCTCTTTTCCAGAAACCTAAAGGCCGCCCTACATTTGCTGAGTTGCTGCAGGTTCTCACAGAGATTGCGGAAACCTGGTGACCCGAACGGAATGGCAACCCAGAGGATCATCTTGCAAAATTACCACAAAAGGAAATCCTGTGTGTGGTCACTGATGATGAACACCTTCCTTTAGAGTTGCTGACTCTTGAAAACAGTGCAGAGATCACCGGCTTTTCAAACTTTAAAATTTAAGAATATCCTGGCAGTCATTTTTCCACATGGATGTTGGAGAGGGACTTCCAAACTCTCTTTTTTTTTCCTGTCCTATTTGTATCCCAAATGTGAAGAAAGGACAAATGCTCCATAACATTCTTCTTAGTGGCTGCTTCTCATGAAAGTAGCCCTGAGAACCGCTTAAGGGTAGATGAAAACATGACGCGTTACAGGGCTGAGGAAATTTTTTTGGGAAGAGGAGTGACGTTCCTTACTTCAGTGACTTGCTAAAGTGAAGACATTCTGCTAACTCATGGATTAAAGGAGCCTTCTCTGCAGAATTTAATGCTTCTGAGCTATACAGATCTTTGTGGAAAATACCCCTTTACAAGCCACATGAATGTGAACATTCTTAAACTGTCCTTTATAATCTTCCTTATGTTATTTAAAAAATTGGTTTTGCACATATCTGATTATTTTGGAGACAATTTCTTGTATTCCAGTTTTTTTTTTTAATAATATAGGCATGGAGCCCAACTCGGGGCTTGCACTCACGAACCCCAAGATCAAGTTTTGACCTGAGCTAAAATCAAGAGTGTGACACTTAATCAACTGAGCCACCCAGGTGCCCCATGGTGTTCCAGTTTTAGACACTGTGAAAACAAAGTTCTTTGAACAGGACCTGGTGACTTTCCTATTTCCAGCAATACCCATTGTCAGGGTCCATTCAGAACCTGAATTCCAATGCTAAAATTTCATACTTTGTGTGAAATTGAACAGTTTTAAAGACCTTTTTTTTAATGTGCAATGTATCTGTTTTATTTTATTTTCCTCATAGTGTAAAAGAATGCTTATTGCACAGTTAGGTAAAGAAAAGTTATATGTTTTGAAGATTTCATATCTTTTTTAAGTTAAAGTCTTAAAAATTTTTTTTTGAGTTTAGTTGACATACAGTGTGATATTAATTTCAGGTGTACAACATAGTAATCCAACATCTCTGTGTGTTCTGCTGTACTCACAAGGGTAGCTACCATCTGTCACCATATAATGCTATTACAGTATCATTGACTATATTCTCTATGCTGTGCTTTTTAGTCTCGTGATTTATTTATTCCGTAACTGGAAGTCTGTATCCCCCACTCCCCTTCACCCATTTTGCCCATTCCCCTGTCCCCTTCCCTATGACAACCATCGATTCATTCTCTGTATTTATGGGTCTGATTTTGCAAGAAGCCTCATTTTGTTGGAGAAATTACCTCCAGTATCTTTTTAGAGGATGACTTGTTTTTTTTTTCCATAAGAATAAGAGGAGGCAAAAACAAGATATCCAATTGTTACCTCAAGCTCTGTTATTTCCGAAGTCCAGGACTTTGAGTTCAAGACAAAGTAAGCGTAGTCATAATTAAACCTTAATTTCTCATGCATTGTTTGTAGAAGGGATTGGAAATTTATCTTTATCATTGTGAGTGCTTCAGAATTCTCATTGGAAGAAGGGGGTGGCCAAAAGCACTAATGTTCTCACCGTAGGGTTTCACAATGGGAAATGGGAGCCTAGCCTTTGTACACTGTCCCTCCCTGTGTCATGGTTCTGCATTATATTCTCATTAGAATTTAAGTGGCTGACTGGTAGTAGTTGTGAGTTTTAAGTCATATTTCCCCACGGCAAAAATGATACATCTGAATATCTGTGGTACTCAGTCAACGCGCACTGAAATAATGAGCATCAGGTACGAGATGTTCAACTCTTGACAATTCTAGCGGTACTCTCAGAAATATTTGTATGAGACCCTGTGTTGTTTCTGAGACTATCATACCGCTCTTCCTCATGACTATGGGAGGTGAGACAGGGCTCCTACTACTGAGACCTGAGTTCAAGTGAGATAGGCCAAAATTTAGTGCAAGAGGGCATGAGACTATCCAACAGCAAAAGCCAAGGCCAGGGGAAAGGTTAACGTTATGACAAACAGAAAACCCGAACATTGAAAAGTTAGGGTCGACTGCAGAGCAGCTGCCATCAGTGCAATGCAGGGAGACAGAATACAGATCAAGAACGAGTCCAGAGATAAGTCATTGCTGGAGGTCAGATGGCAGCCGCTGGCCCATCTAAGAGCATACATTGGGAGTGGTAGGCAAGCTCTCGCCCTTGATGATTTGACGCTTCTGGAAAGTTTGAGATACCAAGAAACAATAGTAAACGGAGCTATCATGTCTGTAACTGAGGCTCCAGATAATGTGTGAATTTGGAATGTCCTTTTTTTTTTTTTTTAAGATTTTATTTACTTGAGAGAGAGCGAGGATGAGCAGGGGGAGAGGGAGAGAGAAAGGGAGAAGCAGACTCTGCTGAACAGGGAGCCTAATGTGAGTCTTGATCCCAAGACTCTGAGATCATGACCTGAGCTGAAGGCACACACCTAACTGACGGAGCCACCCAGGTGCCCCCAGAATGTCTTCAGACAGAGATTCATCATTCTTCGTCTAGCAGAAGAAAAAATTTCTTAATAAAAGGAAAAGAAAAGAAAAAATTTCGTTAAAGAGGTAGTCACACAACGTCTCCTTGGAAGGGAACTTTGTGTTGCAACCAATCTTAGTATTCGTTATTGATAGGAGTTTTCTGTGGATAGCTTACACAGTTTGGCATGAGACAGGCAATAAACAACCCTGGATAAGAAATGAACGGGGAGTTTAGGGGTTGGTTATGAGGGAGAGCCATTAAAAAGAGAAGATGGAGTCAAAGGAGAGAGGGGAAGTCCAGAAAAACGGAAGGAATTTGGAGGCCAAGAATAGAATATGTTCAGTGTAAATACTCACTTGGCAAGAATAGCCAAAGGATTTTTTTTTCCTTAATAAACTTCTTATTGAAGTACAGTGCATGGTCCCACTATTGTCTTGGGAACATGTTTGATCAGCAATCAAATGCACGTGATACGACGATAGCATTTGATCCAGCACGATGTTTTCTCAGCTCTTTAGAGAGACTCAGGACAGAGAAGGGCACGCACGGCCCTTCTGTTTCAATGAAACCTCCCAGTCATTCACGTGCATAGAGGCTTGGGTCCCTCCTCACCCATCTGGAGTGTGTCTGATTGCTGGTGATGAGGCCATGATGTGTGGAGTTCGTCTTTAAACAAAGAAGCTTCTCTCTTGGTTTCCCACTGGTCCTGTAGGCCTACAACTCACAGGTCTCCCAGCTCACGTGCTGTCTCAGAGATCAGAGATTTTCACAGTGCACTGAACACATGTCCGGCCCGGAGACCCAGCATTCCCAACTGATCTTGGGACATACTCAAGAGACTGTGCTCTTCAAGTGCTGTTTAAAGGGAAACCTGAAATCCTCTCAGGCAGGTCTAGGTCTGGGAGAAAAAGGTACACAAATCACGTGTATATAGCTTAGTTTTCATAAAGTGAGTAGATCTGTGTAACTAACACTCAGATCTAGAAATGATACATTCCAGAATTCCAGAATCCCTTCTTGTTTCCTATTCAAGTCATTAATCCAATAGTGATCAATATCCCCATTCCAACCTCATGGATTAGTGTGGGCGTTTTTGAACTTTATGTACTTTTTGAACTTATGAACTTTATGTGAAATCCAATGGTATGTACTCTTTCATGCCTGGCTTCTTTCACTTAATATGTTTGTTGAATTCACCCATGTTGTATGTAGTTGTACATCAGCAGTTCTCTGTCCGTAGAGTCTTCTGTTGTATAATTACATCACAGACTAACTATCTGTTCTACTCTCGATGGATATTTGGGTTGTTTCTGGTTTTTGTCTATTAAGGTCGGTGCTGCTATGAACGTCATTCTCCATGTTCAATGGTGAAAATATGAGTGTATCTCTGTTATGTATACACTTAGGAGTGAAATTGCAGGGCAAAAAGTATGCGTATGTTCAGCTTTTGTAAATAGTGCCAAGCAGTGTTCTACGTGGACATTACTGAGGACATAACCAGTATCAGTGTGTGAACATTCCAGTTGTTTCATGTCCTCAGTAGTATTTGGAATTGTCTTGCTCATTACAATAGCCAAAGGATTTTTATGGGCAACGATGTCACATAATTACTTTCTTTTTTTTTTTTTTAAAGATTTTATTTATTTGGCAGAGCGAGATCACAAGTAGGGAGAGAGGCAGGCAGAAAGAGAAGGGGAAGCAGGCTTCCTGCTGAGCAGAGAGGCTGATGTGGGCTCGATCCCAGGACCTCGAGATCATGACCTGAACTGAAGGCAGAGGCCCAACCCACTGAGCCACTCAGGCACCCCACATATTTACTTTTAAGTTGTTTGTTGTGTTGCAATGTAATCTCTGTCCTTCATTCTTTGCTGTCCGCACAGCAGTAGGCTCCATGCACAACCAAAAATAAGTAGTATTTGAGAGGATTCAAGGGATTTGGGGTGACACAAAAGGAAAAATATTAAAGATGTAATGCAGAGAAGGGGAATCTGATAGAAGCAAGAACTTGGGGCGCCTGGGTGGCTCAGTGCGTTAAGCCTCTGCCTTCAGCTTGGGTCATGATCTCAGGGCCTTGGGATCGAGCCCTGCATTGGGCTCTCTGCTCATTGGGGAGCCTGCTTCCTCCTCTCTCTCTGCTTGACTCTCTGCCTAGTTGTGATCTCTGTCTGTCAAATAAATAAAGAAAATCTTTAAAAAAGAAAAAAATTTAAAAAAAAGAAGCAAGAACTTGGATCTGGAGATATTATGAAAGATCTGAGTTTCTCATTGTGTGTGGGATAAACACACACAAACACACACCACATGGCTATTTGTCCCTCTGATTTCTTTCCAGGGAGTGGGGGCCTTATTAAATGAAAGCTCATGATTTGATAAGAAATTTGATAGGCTTGGAGCACCTGGGTGGCTCAGTGGGTTAAACCCTCTGCCTTCAGCTCAGGTCATGATCCCAGCGTCCTGGGATCGAGCCCCACATCGGACTCTCTGCTTAGCAGGGAGCCTGCTTCTCCCCCCGACCCACTGTCTCTGCCTGCCTCTCTGCCTACTTGTGATCTCTGTCTGTGAAATTAAAAAAAGAAAAAGAAATTTGATAGGTTTGACTAAATAAGTTTAAGGGTAGGCATCAGAAATGGATGCATGGCTTGACATATGGAGAAACTGGAGATGGAGGGGAGAGGAGAGAAGCAGATAAAAGAACTGGAAGGAGGACATTGCCTGACGGCAGTGGGAGACTTGGGGGAGCAGGAATATCTGCCGTCTTGTGTTGTCCCATCCCTGTAACCCCAGCCATTCCTTAGAGTCAACTGGACTCATGAATGCTGAGCATGGCGTAATTTTCACATCTGGTTTTATGTGGTACAGGCAGCACCTGGGAAGAAGAAGAAACTGGGTGGGGGGGGCAGAAGAAACTGTAAGCATATAAACCCCCAGGGAACTTGTC